AATGGGCTCATATTTGTAGAACTTGTTCATTGCTCTAAAGCCGTTCCTTTTCTCCATACGGAGTGATATTACAATTAGTGGTCTTACTAGAGCTAGACTAGCTTATCTGCAAATGTCTCACAAACTAAGATCAGTTCATTTATCCTTTATTACTCTTTCAATATATTCCGCGGTCAACAAGACTGCTTTCTTAATAATTGTCTTCGCTCAATTGCTCTAAGTGTGTTCTGTTTGCGTAAGTTTTTGAAATATTATTGTTATACTTAGAATAGACTTGAAAGCCTAATTCAATTATTGCTACTCGTATCCCACTTCATTGCCTGCAATCTTTCTCAAAGCATGCGATTCTACAAATTTATTTGCAACTATGAGAAATTTCTTCCTTCTATTTCTTTATAAAATCTCCTTTATTGTTTTTAGCTTTTATTGCCTATGCTTATTGCAAAACTGAATGTGCGAAATATGCCTCATCGTGTATCGGATAACTGGCGGATGCGCTCAACGTAGAAACTTCGTGACAGCGAGGTCATCGACCAGTTTTCGCCCTTCTCCAATATTGCAAAGCTGCTGATCAGCTGCTGAAATGTGTCCACATCTAGCTGAAGTAATTGTCCTCAAGAAGAAATAGCTCACGACCATAATCCATAGCTCAAATTAACGATCATGTCCTGGCTTGCTTTTCCTGGCCGAACTTAGATGAATTTCATTGTCTTCGAGATAAACATTTCTGCCTTAAATCTCGTAAATGACTTTCTAGCTGTTTCATAGCTGACCTCCAAGCGAACTTAACTATTTCCGCATTGCCTGCAAGCTTTTCTAGTGTAATCCATTTAAAAGCAGAAGAAAGAAAAGGTCTTAACACTTTGATATACACTGAAGGACAGCCTGTAAAGAACTGCAACTTACGACCACTATATAATAATCCTAAGAGAAGATGGATTGACCTAAAGCAACCATTCACATCCCTTGTAGACGCTAACATGCATGCCCAGTTGGCTTAACTGCTACATATTCGCATTCATCTTTTTAATCGTCAATATACACTGAACGACACACACACACACACACACACACGCATACACGTGACACAGACGCAAATGACCAAGTTATCTATACACAAAATTTCGGAAGAAATAGTCGCACGAGATAGGCTTTCTAAGCGAGAATTTTTTATTTATTATTAATAAAATGTTAATTATAATTATGACAATATATTTGTTTACTTTATCTTCTGTAAATTTATTTACGGCCTCTTTATTAAAATGCTCCTCTGAGCGATAAACAACACGATAAGCTTGGCATAGCTGTACACACCATAATTGATATGAAGAACAAGAGAAGAAAAACTTGAACGACTTGACATAGGCCAATATCATCGAATATGTTGCCGGACCTGTCAATAGACCGCAATTTTCGAAACAGTTTCATGAAATATTTCTACGATAACATGTACCGGTCGAAGGGCGAACGCTCTCGAAGAGCGTTCGTCACAGAACGATGTATTTTATGAAATACCATCGACGGCCTATGTCTGTGTATTAGTCGACTTAGCTTGTTTTTGTTATTATCAATGTTTTCATCACTGATTGGTGTCGATGACATAACGAATGACGCAATTTTTCAACCGCTCAACATGCCACCCATGTCGTGTCCTTTCTAACATTTTCAGTGATATTTAACAAAGCTTTCTTAGTGGAGACGATGCTCTTACACATAATTAAGGATAATTGGCCATTAATCAAGAACAGGCCTTTTATGGATAACAATAGCATCCTCAGCTCCTTTTTTTGGAAGCGTTAAGGCTCGTCTTAATCAATATTTCAGAAAAAAGTAAACTCACATATCAATTCAAATGCTATTGAATATTGAATTGAATATTAAACGCTTCTGTTTGAACTCTACAAGAGTTTTTTTTTTGGATCCAGCATATACTATATTTGTTCTTTTGTACGTAACAACACGAAAAATGCTCATTAGGAATCCTATAAAGTATATACATTCATAACCATTCGTAAAATTCGTCCATTCGTACGTCCGTCTGTCCATCTTTCTTGTTTACATTTTTATCGTTGGTCTTAGAGATGCAAAAATACATTGATCAGCGTAATACTTGCTATGTTCGCTGGTCCATTCATCCATCCATCCGGCCTGCCTCTCTAGCATCTGAAAATTGCCCTATGCACTTGCAATGGCCATTGATCAAATATGAAATATGGCCATTACGTGCCATCGTCCATGCAGTTGCATGTTTGAAGCCCAGTGCAAACGTTTACTGCGATTACATTACATACTCAATATAATCGTAAGATGACGTATGGATTTCGTCACTGTTGATTTCTAGATAATACCAAGTTACAGTTGTTGTTGTGAACGAATGGAAAAAGCCTGAATTCCGTGTGCAGCCTCACTAAAAGAAGTGTATGGCCTGGTCAATAGCCATGCTACATTTGTATGTTATCCCGCGCTCTTGTTGTGTGCCGTGTTATATACAGCTACAGTTAGGAACTGTGCGAAATTTTGACTAAGTTCACACATTTGCTGCCTGGTGTGAGGGCATTCACAATTACGAAAAGTTGGTATGAGAAACTTGCAGAGTTGTGTTCAACTGGGACCAATAAATCCGGTCCGAGAGTAGGTGCAATCAGCCCATCAAAGAGGAGTAAGCAGTCGGAGGACTGATTGAATTGTATGATAAAACAAACAATAAATGAATAAAGTGTATGTGTGCCGAGTGTAATATCGCGTTACTTAAGAGAGTTTTTCTTTTTACCCAAAATATTATTTAACTTAACCGGCTTGAAAGTATTTCGTGAAAAATCGCTAACAAATACTAAAATAAAAGAAAACAATAAAGACATAAACCAAAGGATAACAAAACGGTTAAGATAATGCTTAAAAACACACCTACACATCTTGATCAAATAATCAAAACCACAAACGTAAATTTCATCTCGTACAAGCGTAGTGTATCTGATTCTAAGCAACCTGTAAAGATTTTAACAGATTTCACATGTTAGCGTAGAAAAAATATTATTACCGCAAAACTAAGTAAACAAATAAATAAACTCAGTGCCAATGGTTATGAGGAAAAGTAAAATTTGTAAGTAAACACGTCATCTGTTAAGTGAGTGAGTAAGACACGGAATTGTTTAGAACGCAAATAATTACGGCTATCATCTGAGTACATCGTAAATGTCCTTTTGTGTCCATTAACCGCTATTTGAATATCGACAGATAAGGAGATTTCACATCACAATTATCTGTTATAAAATCAGCGCTAGTTCGAGTTTCTTTCTTTACCTAATACAATATTTATAATGCTTGGGTACAACTTTATCTATCTGTTGTGCCACAGAACACGCCAACCAACCGCACGTTATTGCCACAAACGCCATAATACAATATCTTTGCTTAGTCAAAACTCGTGTCCTTGAAAAGCGGGAATAGGCAAAGCTGGGAATGCTGGGAACTGAATTTTAAATCCATTCTTTCTCTTCCGCGCCATCAAATTAAAGTCGAAATGTAGCTGAATTGTTTTTTAGATATAGTCATACACATCAAAACACGTGAAAATTCAGAGGAAAAAAAGATTAAATGAGTAAAAACGCTATAGTTGATCGCGGCCCGCCAATAAAATATGCTGCATCACTTTTTCAAAATCAGTTATATGGAAAATCGCCAAAAAGATGAGCCGATCCGAGCCGGTGTACCACTATATTTCATCAAGATATCTCAAAAATGGCGTCCTGTAGGTTGAACGCAAAAAAGCGCAAAAGGAGGATAGACGGACAGACAAGCTTAAATTGATTCATAAAGTGATGCAGAAAGCGAAGGGAAGGGTAGAGGACAAAAGATGGACAGGTTTCAAGCCCGCGTAAGTGTTACATGCATCCGTACAAACTCAACATACTATAAAAAATATTGACTATTAAAGGGGAGGAAGGCACGAACGAAATTTTATGAATTCAACTGCATTAGAGGTCTGTATAAAAGTAATTTATTCTTTTTTTTCTCGTCCAGGAATCTCTGACATAAAAAGGTACCAGAAAAATGGCGAAAAGTTGTCAAACAAAATGGCACACGTTTCCGTTAACAGAGTGTTGCTAAAATATAGGAAAAATGTCTTTGATTTACAGTATTTGAGCTTCTAAAGTGATTAGTTAGTTCATACAACCTATTTACCCAATCCTCTTCCAGATGATCCAATGTCGAGGTTGAATTAGTTACAAATATGACCTAAGCCTAACGTTCCACCGCTAAGAACTACATTGTTTAGTTAGTTCTTTACTTATAACATTTTAATAATAATATATTTGCGGCTGTGGCGCACGTAACACGTAAGTACCGAGAATTGTGTCATATACTTTTCTATATTAAGTTTCGACAAATTTTCTATTGAACGTAAAGATGTGCAGATGTCTTATAAAAAGTTGTAAAAAATTATGTTCGTCTAAAGCAAAAGTAGAGCATTTCTTCTTTATGTTTTTATTTTATTATTAAAGAATACGCAAAACATTAAAAAGTTGATCATTTACATATGCCTTTGTTCGTAAAGATAATGCGTACAATTTTATGATTCTCTTAATTAAAACGCCACACACATGCACGATTATGATACAAACATATAATATATAATGATGGGAACTTCTACTTGTACATAGAGGCACATAGCATAAGTAATGAGTGCTTCTTCTCTAATGGAGTTATTATTATGTGCTGTAAACAAACAAATTCCAATGTGGTTTAATCAAGACGAAAAAAATTATACGACCAATTATAAGCCGCTAAGGAAACATAAATACAAAAATCGTTGCCTTATTCAGAATGCCTTTTAATAAAAGATATCAACACACAATATCGCGCAACGATTGTAGTAGATAAGCGGGAGTAAAGAAAGAAAAAATAATGTCCTTTGCCTCTTGACAAAGTGCTCAAGTCAAATGAAGCGTCTTGCGGACGAAAGGCATTGCAGCAATCTAGTCAATTTAAAAAGTGTATAAATTATTTAGTTTATTATTGAAACGTACACCACGGACCACCAACGAACGACTGACGGCTGACTTATTTAATTGTATATGATAAGAGACGTAGAAAAAAATAAAAAAGAAAGAGTCAGATAAATAAATATGTTTACGCTTACGGACAAACAAACCTGATTGCTTTGAAGTTATTAGTTAAATTGTTGAGTAACATTATGGTCCACCGATAGACATAAGATGCAGAAATATGTAGCATAGAATGTGTATTAAAATCAAATGACAATATTTAAGATATCTTCAGGTTGACTTTTTAAGTTAATAATCTCTGGTCGTTTCGATCGTATTCGTTATTTTTCGCACTATCTCACGATCGATACCGCTAACGAGTAACGCAACTTCCAAATTCAGATGAGCTACGTCGTCTTTAAGTTTAGCTACAGCTTTCTTAATCTGTATCACGAAACCTGCAACAGGAAGGAAGATAAAGAAAAGCTTCGCTTACGATAAACGATTAATCAAACAACTCACTGCTATCCGACATCATTTGTCCCCGTCTTTCCATTTCAGTTTTCTTATTGTCATTCTCAGCTATTACAGCTTTCAATTGCTCTACGGATTGTTCAGTTTGTGCCAGTATCTGAGTGTGGCCATGTTGTACGTGAGACAATTCAATGGAGATCTCTTTGTATTGTTGTATAAGCTTTTGTAGTTCGTTATTCAAGTGTTTCTCTCTCGACTCGACCTTTTCTAAGATATAAGTGAACTCATTGTATAGCTTTTTCAATTCCAATTGCGTATCTTCCGTAATCTATTGAAATGAGAAATCACGTTTTTTTCTTTCATTATAATTGCTTCTTTGTACCTCATCTATATTCTTTTTGAAGGATTCCATTTGAGCAAGATGTGCTCTCCAATCTCTGATATCGCTTTTTACAAAGACTTTGAGCTGCGGCAGAACCTGCTCAAATTCTAAACGCCAAAATTGCTGATCGGTAAGCTTATCAGATATCTCCAGACTGTTTAAATTTTTATCAGTGGAACGAATTGTCTGGTTTTGCCATTGCCTAAAATTGTAACCATTTACATCGAATTCACCGCTATCGTCACTCATAATCCCATTTTGTTCGTCCTCAATCTTCTCCAAAATAATCTCTGCGTTATCCTCCATATAATCGTTAATAATATCTTCCTCCTGAGTTATATGGGGCTTTTGGCAGGTGAATTTTATCACTTTTAATACTTGCGTAGCTAAAGTGTCCAAAACAAAAATGCAACTAGCCCCAGCACCTCGTATCAATTTATTAGGAGTGAATTCCACTGGGACATCCTGCAGCAATAGAAAATATTTAAAAATGTTTTAATAAGTTTCTAAAATTTTTCATTTACCATTTCCTGCAGCAAAAGCACAATTTTAGCTATGACTTCATTGGGATCGTCAGATTCCTGCGGTTTAGACATTGTCTGCTTGCCCAACTTTTCTAAAAGCCACCAAGCAATTAATGTAAACATATAAAATTGCTCTCCAGGATTTGTTGATTTTAGGAAATAAAATCTTGAAAGTGGCTTCATTTTAAGTTCACTTAATAAATTCTTCTCATAGTTTAGTAATTTAAGTTTTTCCAATAAATCATCCGCCTGAAAGCTGTTAACAGGTAAATTATGAGCGTCAGCGCTAGCGGGCATTTCGTCCATACTGCTTAAATATACGGATTTGTTTTATTCGGCGCAAGACAAAATAATCACCTGGTTTTTGATCTGCTTAGAGCGTTCAAAGCAGCGATACTATATCTCTGGAATGCTGCAAAAAATTAAATACCAACAATAGCAAAGTTAAAGAAAATTTGTTTATAATTCTTTACATTCTCTTATTTCATAATAAACGAGAAAACGTTTTGTTTGTTTTCAACGCCATAACTAAGGATACGAAAGTTTTGTTGTGACAATAGAAAAAAAATTTATAAAGGGAATAATAAGTAAGGAAACGATGTCGCGAGAGACAAAATGAAATGGAAACTAACTCATTTTTGCGCTTCGTGCTTATACAAAAAAAAAAAACCGATGAAAAATTCAAATTGGAAATGTGTACCAATTCGCCCAATTGGTGTATGCTTCATAATAGTAAATACAACAATCTTTGTTCAAATTGTATTTTCACTTTTCCTTCATTCCATTGTTCCACTTTTCGAAGACACAAACCCTCGGTAACTTTTAACGTAAACCATACATATATAAAAACACCAAAACATTATATGTATAAGATGGAACATTTCGCTAGCAGCGTTCACGTATTAAAATTATCATGTCATGCTTCATGCGCCTAAATGTAAACAAACGTTGTCAGAGCTATGAGAGAGAGAGAGAGAGAGAGAGAGAGAGAGAGAGAGAGAGAGCAAATATTTTGTGCGACGTTTATGTGTAAGTGGAGACAACGAAAAAGCATCTTGTTGAAAATTGTTGATCATAAACCCTATTTGAGAAAACTATATATCTTTCCAACCCAAATGTATATGTATAAAAGAGTACTTTAGTGGTCATTTCATGGCTTAATGGATATTTTACCGACTATAGGAGTTAACGGCAATCCCACACCAAGGGCACTTTTCAGTAATGCATATAACACCCAAAAGGAAGCTTCAGAGACCCTATAAAGTACATATATTCTTAATTAGCGGGAAATTCTGAACCGATGACCCCACGTCTATCCATCTGCGTGCTTCAAATGTCTGTGTGTCAAATGCGTGGGTTTTTGTTCGCCATTCAGAAATTATAAAATGAAAATTAAATATAAAGTTAAAATTTCTTCTGAAATTTTTCACATTTACTTTATGAAAAACTCTACTCCTTACAACTGGAGAAAATCGGCTATGCCCACACAAAGTTACAAACGATTAGATTTTATTGTTTTCACTTTTTTGAGGTTTTGTGCTTATAACGCAAACAGGACAGAATGTACATTCGTCAAATGAAGATATGTTATTATTATTATTATAAGTGCGCTAAATATTGAGCCTAGTAATTTTAATAAAGTAATATATTGTATTGATGTTCTGTTCTGTAGCTGATTTTAGAATGTCCATAGGATTAGTCGCTCCAAATGCAATACTTCTAGCGAAGGCAAATAATGAGAATTTGTCCACAATTTAGATCTTGATTTTCTCAACATTTGTTGGATATAAAGGTGAAATTAATTGATGGTTAAGAGAAGAGTAGTGCTGATGATGGTATTGTAGATTTCATTGTGTAATTTTTTCTTTAACTTTTCTTCCAATGTATCTTTGATGTTCCAACTTTTCCATGACATCACCCATAATTAGAGGTGCAGAAGCAGCATACTTTGCCTCTCGATCAGCCTGCTTATTTCCCAATAAACCGATATGACTTGGCACCTAAAGCATTTTCATTTTTTCGCCGGATGTTGTAATGATATTGCTTAATTTTTTGACGGTGCTCCATCTCGAAGTCGAATGATTCCGTATAGCTTTTAATACAGGCAAACTGCCAGTAATAATGACAGTTTTGAATTTGTCTTTTTGGGAAAGGTTCGTTGTCTACGAAAAAATGCATATGGCAGAGATCGCGATTAATTTTTTCTTAATAATACCAACGATATGGGCATTAAATAAAAGCACTAGAACAGTAGAATGTGAAAAGCCTAGTGATGGATACGTGAGAATCGGTGGTCGCCGAATATAACTTTCTTACTTGTTTAATTTACCAAAAGCACTTATAAAATTAACATCTGCTTTAAGGTAAAAAAATATTTTTACGTGGCACAGTCCTTTACGCGAACCGTTAGTTGTGTTTGCCCGTGTAATCACACGTTAGCGTTAGGTTTTCAACTAGCGTTAATTTATTTTTACCTTATAGTCGTCTCTTTTTTGCTTACTTCTGCGTATACGCGAATAGTCTTTAGTTGTCTTTTGACTCGTCAACATGCATACAAATCCGTTCATTGTTCGTCTACATAGCATATTGCAAAAAATAAAGCGGACTATTTCTACAAGTCTACTATAAGTCCATTTTCAACAGGCGGCGTTCATAATTCACATCGTTTGGCATCATTGCGCGTATCTCCATCGGTTCCAGAAGGGCTCCTAAAAAGGGAAATCTTTTTATACTTCATAAATAGAGATAAGCGCATCATCAAATTAAAACAGGATCAAAAATCCTTTTAAAAGTATATAGGGAAGCACGAAAAAGTTGAAAACAGTGGTGGCGGTTGGTTATTCGCATATCTTGTACAAAACGCATAAAAAAATAAGTAAAAATGCATATTTAATTTAATAAATTTACAAACTTACTTGCAAGCGTGTGTAACATTATCACTTCTTGTTTAACCAATAAACATTTTAATGACCGAACTCGTTTTCTTCTTCTTCTGCAAATCAATAACCGAAAATTCGCAGTGTTCTATAAAAAAGGTTCAATGTGAGCACTAAGTTATTTGTTTGAACCTTTATGAAGTTGATAAAATAAATATTATACGTGTTATGACGTCCGCCACATAACATCAATATTACTTTTCCCGAGTTTCAAGTTAATTAATATTTTTTTAATATTTTTTTTGATTCCATTTCATAGCCACCATTGATTTGCTTTGAAATATAAGTCGAACATATCACATGTGATTTCATAAAAGAAATTTATTATATGTCATACTAAAAAAAATACTTTAATACATAAATATTTATTAATAAAAATTAAAAAATCTTATGAAGCAATTGCCGAAGCAAACCGACCATCCCTTTCAAATAAAAAAATTTGATTCATTTTGTAACTTTTTCATTTATTTCAGTATACGATTAATATTCCAAATGGTTTTTGTTTTAAAATGGTGCTAAAAAGTAAAAAGGAAATCCAAACCAATATAAACAAATAACGTAGGAAAAATAAAAACAAGAAAGTTCATATAAAAATGTATAAAGGCATCAAGTCTCATACGTTAGCATAATTTTCAAAGCTTGATAAATGAACAATGATTCTGTGTAGATTGTACTTAACTCGTTACGATAATTTACATCACAAATTCTTAATATATATAGAAGATGCTAAATACAATATCTTTTATAATTTATAAGAAGAAGAAAAATTAGTTTGATTAAAAGGCGCTGTCTTTCATAAATTTTAAAGAATATTTTCTATTGTCAGTTGTTTCGTGTTAAAATGGATGATTATTCGGATGTTTTAAATTTGTCGCCTGAAGATTTGCTGGAAAAATATTGCAAACTTAATGATCGATATCAAGAAATGGTCAAAGTTAATGAAGCTGATACTCAACACATTTATGAACTAAAAGGAGCACTCCAAAGAGCCACAGCTGCAGAAGCCTTCCTGTCACAAGAATTGGACCAACTGACCAGCTATGAAAACAATCGTAATACAAATGATTTACAACAACTGCAACAGGAAATAGAAAGACTAGAAAATGCTAATCGGAAGCTGAAACAAGACTTTGATGTTGTGGTTGATGAAAATATTCAACTTTCAAAAGTGGTGGAAGAAACTGTCAAAAACAAAACTGACCTTCCTGTTGTTGTATCACCTCAGGAGAGTAAACTGTCCAATGAGGATTTTGAACGCATGCATATGTTAGAGAATGAAAATATTGAATTGTTGCGAAAAATGGAGGAATTTCAAGAGAGTTTTTTGCGCTGCACGCTCACAATAGCCGAACATGAGAAGAACATTGAAATACTACGAGATCAAGTCAATTGTTTAGAAGAAAATTTAAAATCGAAACAGACAGATTTAGAAGAAAAAGTGTCAATGCTCGAAAGCACCCAAGAACAACTAATAGAAGCCAATGCCAAACTAGCGATGATGACAAGCATGCCGGAATGCGTTGGTAATTTATATATTTATGGGGTTTATTGAAATTTTAATTCGTTTTCTTTAGATCGCAAAGGCAATTCCTTGTTTGCTGAAGTTGACGATCAGCGCCAAGCGATGAAAAAGCTGCTAAACGCTCAAAAGGTAAGTTATCTGGAAATGAAAAAGATCTACAGCGAAAGCGAACACGAGATACGTCGTTTAAAACGTGAAAATACTTCTATGCGAACTGAGTTGGAGGCATGCAGTTCAATATTTTGTTTCGCAGATAGGACTTATCAAGGTAAAAACACATCTTTTATTGCAAGGCTCACATTTCAAATGGAAAACTTTTTTAGAAAAACTAAACCAACGTATTCAACGGCTACTAAGTGAGAACGAGGGCTTGGAGCGCAAATTAAATTGGACACAGGAACACCTTAAGGAATTATCTTCTGAAAGAGGAGTACTTTGGCTGGACTCAATGCTTGATTTTTGCAAGTAAGTTTATAACAAATTAAAGTTGACAAGGAGGTGGCATAAAAATATAACGCAATTGCAAGTTATTCTTTTTCAACAAGTGTTTAAAAAAGTTGGGCCAATAATAAAAACAAATCAATCGAATTTCGCATGAACAGACAGGGAGAATGTGTTAATAATTTGCATCGACCTTAGTTATATCTGAAAGTTTTATACAAAGCAAATGTGTGTAAAGCAAATGTGTGATTGATTGTAACCTAATTTCTGGTGCTTTTTGAAATAATCAGGAAGTTGTCCTACACATTCTAGACGTTTGTTGAAAACGCAATAACCACCTCCTCCTAGTCTTGCCTGGAAACTTAAGACGGCTTGGAAAGATATGAAGATCTGAAATATGTTGACACTAATGGGTGTTCCTCGCCCAATAGCGTGCTTGTGGATGTTATTATTGTGGTGGGTTTACTGTAAAAGGCTTGACATGCTCAATTATTTTTATAAATCAACGAGCACGGCAACAGTGGCGGTTTCCTTTTTTTCTAGTTTTCTAGAAGTTTTCTGCGCCCTGCATTTTTTTATTTTTATTTTTAAACATTTACCATAAAGTAGAAACAATTTTGGTAGTTAAGAAATCGGGCTAGAAAGCTAGACATATTTTTATGATCGGATATACAGCCGCACGGTAGATTTACTTAATTTTTTTCCACCCATCAGTCAATTCGAATGCCAGGTTTTTTGAAATTAAACCAACATTTTAGGTTGTTCCTTGAAAATTGTCTGCGTCTCACTGGTTTTCTAAGTTCAATGAGTTTAGCCAAACTGATACATGCTATATTTGCTAAATACACTCATCCATTACATTCATTAGAGAATCTGTTTAGAAAAGTAGAGAAAGTCAAAGTTTCACATCAAACAGTCATTTATTTATTTTTTTTTTTATTATATTCCAGAAAAGAAACTAATACTCTTAGGCAACAGCTGCACAGCGAGCGTTTACAAAGGGCCAGTTTGGAGGAACAGTTACGTAACGCCCTTCAGGATATGGCTCGGCAAGTATTTGGAATGCTTTTCAAAGTTTTATATACTAAAAAAAAATATTTCAAAATTTAGCTGGAGATTTGAATCCTTAAAATCACGTTGCGTTCTTTTAAATCGCGAATATTTATTAAACGAACATAAGATTCCATTTGAACCAATGCAAGCCTTGGATTTTCATATAACCCATAAAGAGCAAGAAGAAGCAAGACCACGTATAATAAATAGACCGAAAAACGATCTGTTAAAGCCAACCGCAATAGCAGAAAGTGAGAAAGAAGATTTAATTGGAAAGGATCAATGCTGCGAAATCCAAAAAATTGGACAAAAACTTGAAGACGAAGCGGAACCCAACGAATTAACAAAAAGTTCTTACGCTGGACTCAAAAACAATCAGCCACCAAGCGGTAGCTCCAACGCAGGCCTATCGGATTGTGAGAAATCGGAAATATCTCCCAAAATATCAGAAGAAATTGCCAAACTAAATCTCGTACAGGAAGTTACTAACCTCTCCACGAAAAGTGAATCATCTGCTTCCGATCAACAAAAGCCTGAAAGCAAATCGCAAAGCAATGAATCTGCAATAAAGGAAGATTATGATGGTGAACAAAAGCCTAAAAACGAATCGCGATGCGATGAATCCTTAACAAAGGCAAACTATGAACTGAAAGGTGAACAGAAACTTCAAGGAAGCCCTGTTCGATCTTTTAATATATATAACGATAACGAGAATTACGAATCGTCTCCGAAAATAAAAGAAAAATTTTTCAAGTTAGTTGGTAAACCGCCCTCTCCAATGCGTCCTTCACAAAGAGCTCTGAGGAAACCAGATAAAGTAGACAAATGTGTAAAGAAGTCGCGTTCAATATTAAGTGAGAAACGTGATTTATTCCATGAAGAAGCACCCAAAAATGTAACATTTTCGACAGAAAAAGCAACGATACATAGTCCGACCTTTGATAAATCATCATCCGAAGATTGTGTGTCCGTTTCAGACGAAACGTTAACACCACTTTTCACAAAGAGCATAAACAAAGTTTCGGTTAAAGGATCTCGAACAAAATCTAATATTGTCGTACGCCATGTAGTTGTGAGCTCCAAACGCGATTAATGTTCAGCTGTCCGTGTCAATATCTATAAAATAATTCTCATTTGTATTATTTATAATTAATTTTTGCAATAATTTGATAAATCAATTCTTTGTTTTTTATTTATCGTATTTTAATTAATCCGAAAAATTTACATTGGCAGAGAGTTTAGAATTTTAAAGCATTCACAGCAACAGCACTTACAGTGAAGTTATGTATAAAAATTCACTGCCTTTATGTCGCTGCCTTAATTTATCATAATGAATGAAGCTCGAGCTTAAAAAACTCAACTTTCCTTTTTTGAGCCATAATGAAGAAAAATAATTTTTTTTTTTTTTTTAACTCAAAGATGTTTTAAACAGGTGTTTGAAATTTTTTCGCCAAGGGAGACTTAACTGAGTGCCTGATCGGACGCTGTATTTGATGATTTCTAACTTATCTAACTCATTAATTAATTAATAAAAAGTGTTTTTTGTTTATTTAAAAGCATTTCCCCTCGTAGCGTAGGATTCAAAGTAAATGAAAATTGTGCGATGAAGACTTTGATGTCTATTACAAATACGGAAGTCATTTCTTGTCGCTTTCTCTGTAATTCCTCAACACGTAAAGTGTAAAACGTGTAGTCGGTATAACACCAAAAACAAAGGCATCTTCTAGCGAAAATTCTTGGGGGAAAAAGAATGCGGAAGATTTGAATTGGATAAGTCAGGGCGTTTTTAAGGTCCTGGGAGTGTACTTAAAATAAATAAATAAACGTATTGTAATACCAAAAACATGCCTATAAGGCATGCGAACAGTTTATATGGATAGCGTTCATAGGATGGCAAACGATGTTCATTCTTTACGTGTGACTTTTCCACAGTATCCTTTATATAGTCTTTTTGTAGAGAAAGTCGAAAAATATTTTAGTTCGTTAGTTCGTCTAAACATTATTTCTCAAGATTGTTGAAAATCGAAAACAACTCGTCTGAACTAATATGCGTTTTTCTCGAAACATGGGTTTCCAAATCGATCGCTCGAAGGATATTTTCAATAAATTGATTTAATTATTTTATATTATTTATTACATAATTCCTTGTTTTACATTACGTTTTTAACTAAATATCACCTTTTTTTGGATAAGGTGGAAATTTTCCGCTTCGTTCAAATAGTTGTTAATCGCACAAAATATTTACTAAGGATTTCACTTATTCTGGCGTCTCCTTTTTTCTTCCCGTTTAGGTGCAAATTTGCTTTAGGCCATGGAGCCCCTTAAATCAAAGTTATGTCTCGCGGGTGTGGCTCCGATCCTACCGTCCTCAATACCTTCCAAATATAATGTATTGTTATACCCTACATCAATCATGGGATAATGGTATACGTACAGACATCCTGCAAGTACGCATAGAGCAACTTTTTAAACATTTGCGAAGTTGAACACAAGACGGACAAACCGGATTGGCAACGGTGGGTGTGTTGTATGCATACGCGCAACTTAATATATGTTGATGTCACAAAAAGGTGTAGGGTACAAAAAGTTATCAAGAATACCCTTTTTGTGTTATCCCAATGGCATTGCTCCTCAATATCTTAGGTTTGATAGCATTTTATCCAATCACCAATTATTGGCTGATTTAAATTAGTCATCGGGAAACGATAAGATTTATTTCATCTGTTTATTTGACTATTTACTTATTTATAATTTTTGTAAACTAGTAAAAAAAACCTTATGGTCTATGCTGCTTTCGCTTCTGCAGTGTAAATGAAAGAAGAGATTATTACTTTGCCTTGACTTTCAATTCTCGAATTCATGCTTCGCATGCTTCATGCTCGCTTCTCTGAGAATTCATCTTCGACATCTATGATTTGTTCATATATTTGTTGTGGACGTTCCTTAGGAAAACTTTCGTAGATTAATTGCAGATTTCTTTGACAATTGCCGCCATTACCGATTTGATTGCAATTGCATATAGATGGTACGTCCAACTTTATCGGTTCTTCATAATTGTCATTAGTTTGATTGCATACAGTAAGCGAGGGATCCGAGACCGTCAAGTGTAGCGAATTGAACTCGTGCCCTGAATTTAAGACACTTTGCTCAGGACGACGCCTGCAATTGAAATTCTGATAATATGACAAGTGAAAAACTTTTTGACAATATATCCACAGGTACAATAGGAGAAATAATAAAGCTATGCCCAACGGCAACATGAAGACAATGATTAAAGCTTCTGCCCGTTGATTTCTTTTAAATTCCCATGGATTACCGTAAATGATAGTGTAGGCGGAGACATTTACTACTTGATCGGATGTGCTAGGACTTGCCGATGTGCTAACTGTAGTTGTACTTGTAGTTATGCTTGTCGCATTACTTTGCATTATGGGTTCATTAACGGTTTGTCGCCTTTCGGAAGGTATACATTCCAAACCATTCACATTTATCTTTGATATGAATTTATCGTATCGTAGTGTGCGAAATACCTCAGGATAATTATGAGCAAAGCTATGCAACCAAAGACAATCCCAGGGATTACGATCACTTAGCACCTGTACCCGAAAAAGCGTTAATTCATTGAATTCATGATCAATATTATGTAAAGATTGCATACGATTGGCTCGAATGTCTAGACGCCGAACTTGTGGTAAATATTGCAATATTTCGTAGAATAGCAAGACTTTAATGTGGTTTCCTTTCAATATAAGATCATGTAAACTGTCAAGATTTGTTAGCCATTTAAGGGGTAACGTTTCCAAACGATTATTACTTAAATCTAACGTACGCAAGTTATTCGTAGAGATTTCGAAATTTTCTAAATTGTTATCACTTAAATTAATGCATTCGATACTGGCAGCTGCATCGTTTACGGAAACGGATTGCAAAAAACAATTAACAATTGTTAGATTATTTAAAGAACCGTCATTAATCACTTGTATAGCATCACTATCGATTACGGTATCTGCTATATAAATATTTGTTAATGCCTCAGGTAATGAATGAAATATATCTGCCGTTAATTGCTTTATTGATTCGATGTGTAAGTTGGTCACTTTAGTGCTCTGTATTAATTCAGAAGATTTGATTATTAGAACCGGTTCATCGACGATTCGCAAAGCGGTTAAACATTGTAAATTTTGTAAAGATTTCGGATGCAAAGATCGCAAAGAGTTATGAGCGATTTCCAATGCTTCTAATAAGTCGTAAGATTCAAATGAATTCTGATCAGCAACAGCGATTTCATTGTTAACGAAACGTAATGCTTTCATCTGCAAAGGGATCGCACTCACGCAGTGTAACTGTCTAATGAAATCCATATGGAAATTCTTTATAACGATTTCAGTGATATTGGAACAAGCTGGAACATATTCCAGACCGTAGCTATGAGTATTTAACGGTGTGCGGCAACCGTCTAATATTATTGACTGGATATCAATAGAACGTTGTGACGTCATTTTCTGTGAACGATCCATATGCGCGCTAATCTCTTCCCGATCGCTGCCTTGCAATGGCGAGCAATCAATTTCCATAATATGACTTCTATCGTAATTCGTTGGATTAGCATGGTTTATAATCTCGATTTTTACCAAACAACTATCATTCCAACTATTCCAACAATTTTTTTGTGCATTTATTACTTTGAAGGTAAAAATTGTGAGGAGAATACACGATACACATCTACCGCCCGATGCAATCATTTTCATTTTCCGTACTAATCACGCTTAATGCTGTTCGCACGTTGCTCTAAAACAATCAATCGCTTTAACTGCTCAATTTTTTCTTCAACTGAATACATTTGGCCAAAAGTTTTCATTTTAAATCCATCTATATAATCAGAGAGATTCATCTCATTCTCCTCACGGTGCCTGTACGTATACGTGTACGTATATGCGTCCGTGTGCGTGCTCTTGCTCATTACAAAATTCTATATTTTCCTATAAATATAAAACATGAAAAAAGAAAAGAAAAAAAGTGCTGCATTTTTTTTAACATATCCCGCTGTTTCCGAAAGCAAGCAAAACAAATTCTCTAGTTGCATAGCATCGGCCATTAAATGTGTCTAATAAGTAGGAAAACGGAATTTCTTCTTGTAACGGATTTTGAGTACCCTAAAATACCGATGAAAAAAATAGTATCGTGCTTTTTTTTTTTTTTTTAATTAATCTTCTGTGATTTCGGCTTTAACCACTTAACTGCGTCCGATATGCGTACACGTCGTGTGGAATAAAAAGTTACCCTTCGTGGTGAAAAGTTAAAATTTCAGTAAAATGCATAAAAATCTCATAATAATACCAGTAAGCCTACTGTTAATTGGACCTTAGACGACCCAGTACAACGGAAAAATCTACATATTTCTTTGGGGAAAACATTTCACTAACTTTACACCTTTAAAGGCAAAACCATTCCGGAGATGTTTCGTCAACTCAGGCAATGCAAAATGGATACCATACGAGAATCCGAAGAGAAGTAAAGCATAATTTTATCCGGCATACACATATCCACATCGGTTGTAAGGCGTAACGTTCATGCCCAGTTGGCTTAAATGCCACCTAATCGCATCCATCTCTTTACTCTCTGATATACACTGAACGACAGCTTGGAAATAACTGAAACTTGTATAGTACAACCGCCGAAGTTCTAGTTATCCCTACCCAAGATTTCGCAAAAAATTGAATTCGGTATGCATGCCTTGTGCAGCAAACAAGCCCATTTGACAAATCTTGTGTACACGCCTAATATATTTCGTAGTTAAATGGTTAAAAGGCTGGTTGCCATATCTTGCAGCGATCTTAATCTAATACAAAATATACATGTGTAGTAGGTTATGCATTATTGTACATATTTAAAATCGTTAATTTTTCGTTAAACTCTAGTTCTTTTACGTCATATTTCAACTGCATGTCTATCAATCCTCGCGCGTATAAAGTGTTCACATTCCAAGATCTCTTTATTTCAATTGCTAAGCTCGTATATATCATTTATTTATTATATAGTTCTCCTAGTAATTGCGTGGAATTACAGAACAAGGGATCGCCATTGGGCTGACACGTATTAGATTGATTATAAAATAAAATCTTCTCATAGATATATTGCTGACTGTATATTTTAAAATACTCGTACTATGATATCGATTTATATATTTATTTGGTAGAGCTTAAGATTAGTCACTGCACTGCTCAGCTGACACAAATTTCGAAACGTGGGCCTTCCGGGTCGTAAGCATAAATCCAAGTTTCATCGCCAGTAATTATGTACGCATTTTGGGTAAAAAGTATAATTTTTACCATTTCAACAGGGCGTTGCTACTCCTCTAGTCTCATGCCTCCTAAATAGATTTTAATTAAATGAAAAGCAAATCGAGATGATAGCGAAGTCTCAGCAATAATTCGCTATAAGAAATGGATAAATGGTTAAATAAAAATAGCTAAGGCACTGAACATAATCAATATACATTTGCACCGTGTAACATGCAACAAATATTACAATAAAATTTCGTTCCACCTACTTATATAGAATCGTTGAATATATAGCTTTCATTGCATTGCCGGAGTAAAAGAAATATAAAAAGAAATATTTTTCATAATGCACGACCTAAATGCATTCATTGTGTTTAGCGCTTAAATCAACCAAAATGTTATGGTAATAAATCAAGCATAAAGCTTCTGGGATCATCGGTAAGTATGACGGGAGTTCACGGAATTAGTACATGAATCCGTTTTCTATTGAAGAGATCTTCGAAGAATGTTGACGGCATTGCAAATTTACTCCCTTCCAGCATATACACTCGAGAGCAAAAAAATCGCACATCCCTTACATTTTCACTGTCAACCTGTATTTGTTAAACTAAACTTGGATTGCAAACCTAACTTCAGTTATACTGAAGAACACACTGTTAACTTCCGAAAAACTTATAATGCGTGACCTTGAGCTTCAAAATCATTACAGTAACAACAAAACAATAGAAACACAGAATATATTGATTGACCTTCAGCTTCAAGATCATGCAACAAAACAACAGAAATACCTAAAATCGCTCGTTTCAACAAGAGAAAGAGCGCAAGCATAACAGGACAATAATTGATAGAAATGATATCATTTGCATACCAGCTCGCAGTTTGAAGAATTCTTTTTCGAATACGAGACTGTTCAGAACAAGCACATGGATACCACAAGGGAAGCATTGTCTCAACTGATTGCACTAATTGAAGCTGGGAAGAATCAACAACCAAGCGGCCAAAGACAGTCAATTTAAGCTGCTATGTTGTTCGACGTGTACACCAACGACCGCCGTGTACACAAGAGACCGCCGGCTATGCTCGGCGACGAGGATGTGGTTGAAAACGTGTTACAAGACACCGTGATGACCGTTTGCTAGTCACAACATCACTAAGAAATCCCCGGTTGAATGGAATTCAACTCGGGTAGTCAGTCGGTGGACGATTAAAAGTAGACTAGCTGCAGGAAGGTTGACACCGCGCAGACCAGCAACTTTCGCGAAATTGATCTCAGGCCGGCGGCAATCACGCTTTCAGTTCGCTCCAATTGCATTATGGATGGAAGATAGTACTGCTCTCTAAGGTGTGCAGAATGTTTCTTCGTGACGATGGACGGTAAACAGTCCGCGGAAGACACGGCCAGCGTTTGTCACAATGCCGCATCTCTGAAACTGTCGCGTAGGGTGGTGTTTCGTGCACGTTTTTAGGCGGCATATCACTTTACGCGATCACCGAACTTGTGTTGACCACAAAACCCAAAACCAGCAAATCGAATTCCCGACGCAGCATTAAAAAAGTTCTGGAAGAATATGTAGCGCTCTTTTTGGGATTTATCGACGAAATTTTCAGTTTCATGCATGACAACGCAAGATAAAATATCACTACACCACTACGCCAGTAGTTGGAAGATTTTAATATGCCAGTTTTGACGTGGCATGCTCGAAGCCTAGATCTCAGTCCATATTTTTCAATGAAAAATCAAATAGAAATAGGAAAGAGTAATACCTTGCATTAATAAACTTTTTTTTTTGCCAATTTTATTGTTTTATTATCCTCTTACTCTCAGCAACCTAAGCTTAGTTTAATACAGAGTCAGTTTGGAAATGAGAATGTAGGGGATGTGCGTTTTTTTTGCTCGCGAGTGTATAAAGAAGATCGGAAAGAGAGTGAAAACTCTTTTCAATACACTGAGAGCCTTTTGTGCTTTATATTTCCTTACTTTTATATATGTATGTAAGAATTCGCTCATACCATGCTCGTCTAATTTATTATTGTATAGCGATGCTCTTCAATCTATTTTATCCGACAGCAATTAGGAAAGACTTCGTATGAACAAAATAAGAAAAAAATAATAATAAAAATAAAATGATAATTAATTTACTTACTGTATTCATTAGTTTAATAATTCTTTGCGAGTTTTTCAAAAACACACACCAAATATTCTTTGAAATATCCATCCGGAATAAACACCTTACTCTCATTACATTTATTTGCATTTAATGTAAAGCGCTATGCTCAGAGCCGAGAAGTTTTATATAAACTAATTATTTTCTCTTTCATTAGGTTACAAAGGGACTTTAAAAGGCTTACGCAGCCTGCAAAGAAAATTATATTCACCTTGGGTCGAATCTGTGACATGAGCATCTTGAACCCATATATCGGAAATGCAAAATATATTATTATAGTCACCATCGAGACTGGGATGAATTTATCAAAACGTTTGCAGAGGACACGGTCATCTTCGTCAACTTCGAAAACGATCTACCTATGTCCGTCTGTGTATTTGTGTCAATATTCTTCTGGTCACTAAAATGAAAATATAGGTTTCAAATAAGCAAAGTTGGTACTGAAAACAGGTGAAACCGTGCAAAGAACACGTTTACATTACAATGCGAGCTGTTGCATCACTGTTTACTGCGTTTTTTTTTTATTCATTGCTCATAAATTATAACAGACTCGTGATAATAATTTTCACGTGTATTCTACAAAAATAAAAAAAAACAGTCACTGCCACCAAATATTATAGAATATAGAAATTTCTGTTTCTTGCTTCTTTTTTCTGCCATTTTGAGAATAAATGTGATGGGTGTGTATATAAAATTCGCTCAGGTTTGTTACACATTTAAATTGTGGATGCCGATGTACATTTTCATTTTGAAAACCGACTAGTCGGTCACTGCGCATTACTAACTACCCTACATTACTATGCTTAATGCAGTTATTCATGTCACTACATTTTTAATGGTTCTACGTTTGTCCTTGCGCCAAAACCCGTCGGTGCACCAAATTTTATCGAAATATTTCAAAATTTGCGGCATTTTTAAAAAATCGAGAAATAATTGTAAAATTAACCGCTATCTGCAATACCATGATGGATCAAAATTGGTTCTGCCAGAGCTCCAGTTAGCGGAACATCGTTTCTTGCTCGCACTTTTAATTACTTTTACACTATTTGCAACGGATTGACGTTTTTAGGCCAAGCAATTATCGAGGCAATCTTTCCTCTGTAAGGAGGATTGTCCTTCGGACAATTTTTAATCCGTAGCGGGGATTGAGTCTAATAAGACGTAGTCACATTTTGTCCGCAGGCAGAGAAAGCAAAATGAGCTTCGACAAATTGTACGAAATTTCATTGCGACTTGATTTTTATCCGATCCGAGCTAATTTCCGAGTTCACCCCTACCTAAAAATTATATTAAGAAATACACACATGGCACATAGTATTAGTGCATTTAGAATTTTTTAACATTCTTTCCTATTCACTAATAAATTTTTTGATTTTATTTTAATCACCTCTAAAAAAACGAAGAAAACATATAAACACATATAAATATTACACGTATTACACGCTTTAAACAATCCTTTTAAACAAAACTGCTCACGAATCATTCAGAACACTCGAAGAAGAAATGCATCTTAAACATTGAGAATGAAGAGAAAAAAAATGTCGATCTATTAAATTTGTTCTATGTAGTGTAACAGATCTTCTATAAGATCTATTATCGAAGAACTGTTCACTTCACACTGCAAACTTAACGCAACACTAGAGCATTAAATTGAAATCGCTTTGAAGCGCTTAATTGGTAGCGGTTTCATTTAAGATACGTGTTCGTGCCACAGCTTCGCGAGGATTGCCGCCAGACATTGAGTAAATGTGTCGCCTCAGTACGCGTATATGCTTTTGGGATACTTCGAAATTGTGAACCAAAGTGTTAAGCTGACTCTGTAATTCCGCAATGAGACTGTCGCGCTCGTGTATTAGATTTGTGGTCGAGTTCTGGCTGCGATTGAGTTTAAATTCTAGCTCGTTGACTCGTTTTTGCAACTCGCGACGTTGTTTATCGCTTTGCTCACGTTGGCGAGCTAAAACGCGTTTATTGCAATTCTGCAAACTATCCATTTGATCGCGTATCTTTTGCAGTTCGTCGCCTAGATTTCGTTTCTCTTGCTTAAGAGCCGCATTATAGTTTTTAAATATCTTCAAGTCTCGTTCAGCCGCCTTCAAACGGGTCAATGTGGCCATTTTTCGCCTGCCCATTTCCTCCAATTTCAATTTCAATTGATTTGCCTCCGCCTGTATGCAGCGAACACGTTCGTGCAATATTGTATTCTCAGTCACTGCCCGTCCACTTTTTACCTGTTCATCGTGTAGCAGCTGAGGTAATTGCGCGACTTCGCGAAGTTTCGCCTCCAATTTGAGACGCAACTGGTCAATACCGGTTGTAATCTCTGTTTCCAATTGTTGATTGTTAGAATTAAGTTTTTCGATTTCAATCTGCTGCGTCTGCATGATTTCTTGCGCCTTAACACATCGTTTATGATAGTCTTGAAGACAGCTTTGCTGTTTTTCAATAATGTCGCGATAATGTTCCTGCTCACTTTGCAAGCTAGCAATAGTGTTTTGCAAGAAATCGACATCGACCTTCTTAGGCGAGGATTCTTTTCTCTTGCCTTGGTGAGTTTCCATTATTGATTTAAAAGTTTTGTAAATATCGGTAAGACCTTTATTGCATTTCTCTTTATAGTCAGAGCCGCGAATTTCGGATAACGGCGGTGCATTCTCCTTATCCAAACGGTATTTACGTTTTTGTGAACCGTAGTCTTTGCTTTGCCTTCGATGTTTTCTGCATAGGTCATGTTCAATTTTCCCGTGACCTAGAATACTATTGTTCGAATCTTTGCCGACAATTTGCAGAAGGCTGGGACCGCGATCAAAAACTTGCGTATATTTACGTTTCAATGAGTATTCCGAACCTGTACTTGTCATTTCTGAATAAGATTCGGAATCGCCGCTGCAACTGTTATGTTTCGTATTCACAAAAAGATCATGCTTCTGTTGCATTTCATTTAATTCAAAATTAATTTGCATATATTTCTCTTCGAGATGTTTCGTTGTGTTCGTGTACTCTCTAAGCTCTTTTTTGTATTTCGATAGTTCGGCCTTAAGTTTTGAACTTATTTCGCGACACTTCGAAGATGATTCCATAAGCGAATTCGAACTGGCATCGCAATGCTCATCAAGCTGCTCCTCGTCGTGATCCTCCTCATGGCCTAATTCGTCCATATTATTTCGTGAAAGAGAATATGAAAGTTTTGGGAAATTGGGTGTACTTGAATGGCAGGACTTTAGCATCAATTTTGCTTTGATATCACCATTCGAACTACTCGCCAACGGATCACTTGGTATCACAAGATGGCTACGCGATACCAAGTCTTCGTGTCTTGTTTTCGTAAACTCTAAATTTTGACTTTTACGCTCCATTGATGCAATCCAGAATTTAAGCCCATAAGGAAGTGGGAACGTCTCAAAACATGTATTATGAGATTTCAAAAATGATGCAAACTCCCAAATATCTATTTTACCAACGGAAAATTTTTCGAACGAATACTTTTTACTTTCTTTCGTATGAACAACCGAAACTGAATATGAAACAAAAACAAATTTATCATTAACACTTGTCAAAATTGATTAGATCAGATTAGAGAGTCAACTTGAAGTCGTTTTCCAAGCACAATTATTTTGATAATCAATCGGAAGACGAAAGGTACTAAGCGATGGGCATCTAAGGCGATGGGCAAAATTGAAAGTTTCTTCTTGTTTTAAAATTTTTATATCCTACACCATTTGTGATGCAAGAGTATATTAAGTTTGTGTCGACATATGCTATACCCACATTCAAAATCATTTTCTGGATCGATTTAAATTTGTCTTTCCGTCCGTCTGTCTGTTGTTTTTTTGTCTTCAGCAACAGCAGGCCGCACCAACTTGTTTTCACCCAAGGGCACCGCTTTTCTGACCACTTCACCTGTTATATTTGAACTTCTTTTTTCGATGGGCTTGAAGAATCTAAAATGTGGAACTATTTACGAACAGATGAAGAACATGCTGCACTTACAATTCTAGCAAAGCGAAAGTAAAGGAGCGAAGGCTCCTCAATTCTTCTTTCTTCATCATCCTCTCATTTATATCTTGTTTGCGAAATGTCTGGAATTCGGTTCAACTTGTCGAAATACTCTAAAATTATTTTAAATTTTCAAAGCGCGTTCATTGAATCAGATTATCATCGTCAAAACTTAATCAAATTACTTTCCAAAACTGGTGACTATACTGACAAATTGAAAGTCACATAAAAAATAAATCAAAATCAAAAAATTTTGTTTAATCACATGCTAAATTTCTAGTTATTTTAAATTAAACTTTTTTAACAAATTTTCCAATAAAAATGGCCGATGCTCCGGAGACGGAAGAAGAGAACGAAAGAGTAGCCGGTACTGAGGGAACTGCGGGCACCGCAAGCGCTCCTGATACCGAAGCCGAGCCACCTTCCAATTTAGGTGAAGGAACACAAGATGAAGAAGAGCAAGAACAAAAAGATGATTACACTCCATTAGGATCTTCGGATGATCAGGAAAAGCAGCGCAATTACAACGAATATAAAAGACTTGTAGTGGAAATCAAATGTCAGAATGAGATTATAGAGCGAGTCAAAATGCAAATCCAGGATACGGCTTGCAAGCCATGTATTACAGCTTGCGAACAAAAAGAGCTAAGGTGTCTGCAAGAGTGCTTGGAGCAGGAAATGCACAAGTTACGATGTCTGATAAATAAAGCAATGCATCTGCAAAATTTTGGCTCAAAGCGTCATTACAGAGAAATCGCATTAGTTACGACATTCGATGAGGATCAAATGGCTCCCATATCTTACTATTGCGATACAATGCAAGTGAAAACATCAAGGAAATCATTTGCCAAACAACTACATCCGGCGCGTCATTGGAAATCGGTTGTTAGCTCCGATATTAGCGAAGAAGAAAAACCCTGCTCCTGTCAAGATCGTCCGGAAAGTCATGACACATCAAGTACTCCCGACGAAGACGAACGAAAATTGATGAGAGAAGTTTTAGAAGCAATACGACTCTGCAAAAAGAAAAATCATGTATGCAAAGATCAGACAAGTAAAACAGTCTCTCCGAATCAAAAGAAGAAGATATGCCAAACGGAATCGTCATTTGAGAAGCTTAAAAATAAAATATTCGGCATGCAAGAGACAGTTGAAGAGTTGAAAGAAGAAATTTGTCGACGAGAAGTTGAAAGGAAATTAAGCGGACCTTGTCCGCTTCATAAGCAAAAACGTGACGTGCCTCCTCAACCATGCTCAACAGGTCATATACCCAGCCGTGCTACCCGCCCTGTTGCCTTTCCCACTCCCTTTTCTGCCCCATGCTCCATGCCTTGTCCTAATCCCTGTCCTAATACCTGCACTAATGACTGTCAGTTTTCCAGTCATGGTCCCTGTCACGATGACTGTCATATGGTATGTGAGAAAACCACGCTCCCCCCTCAGGAGCCCTGTGCATCGCGCAAAACACGCAAAGAAGATCTATTCCAGAAGCTCAAGGATAACTATGTCTATTTATTAACAGAGTATACGAAAAAAGATGGACAACTTAAGGAATTGAATAAAAAGCAAGTATACCATGGGAAAGAAAATATTTACACAATAACATTATTTAATATTTTAACAAATAGATTAAGAAGCGAATGCGCAAGCCTTGGTACCGGCCGCATAGGTATTGGGGATGGGAGTAACGCTGACGAAAGCGAATTGGTTTTGCTGCGGACTCGTGTCAATGAATATAAAGAGGAGCAAATTGAGTTTAAGTGCTTGATGAAGGAACAAGCTGCGCAATTAGAAGATTACCGTAACAAGTATATAAGCGCCCAACAGAAAGTCGAAGAGCAAAATGCCTTGATCGAAAAGCTTAATATGAATAATAAGCGTGTAGAGAAACAAATTAATATGGAGTTGAAAGCGATTAGAGCTAAATTTCAGGAAAAACTTAATGAATTATTGCAGTATCCGAAATTACTTGAGAATGAACAATTAAAACTGTCTGACGTTTGCAAACAGAAAGAAGCTATGGAGAACAAACTAATGATTGTGTGCAAAGAATTGAAAGTAGTGAAAGCGAGGTTGGACAATGCGGCGGAGGATTGTCGACCGCAATTGCAGAAATGTCAAGTAGATTTAGAAAATGTTACTAGAAATTATGAGGATATGCAGAGGCAACGAGATCTTTTCTGTGAACAATTGAAAGTGACGAGAGAAGATCTAGATACACTGCGTTCCGAATCAGCCAAAATTATTGCTCGCACTAAAGAAAGATTTGAAGTGATTAAAGAACAAATGCAAGAACGTATGGATCGTTTGGAGAAAGATTTGGCTCAGTGTAGAGCTACGGCCTGTCTCTCCGTTAACGACCGCGAAGTTGTTATACGCGAGATGCAAGGCCAACTAAACACTTTGTCATATAGTTTCGATGCGGCCCAAAAGCAAATAAAAACATTACGTAACCACATAGCCTACATGTCCAATGAGAACTGTTTTCCCATTAAATGTTAAGACGGCACAAACTATACCAAATCAGTCTTCATACTTATACATTTATTCTTATAATTATATATTTTAAACAAACAACTCACAATAGCAGTTTTTAATCTGTTCCCCCTAGGATTATTGGTAAATATATATGTACTTCGAAATAAATGAATTGTGGTAAAATGGCAATGATCTAAGGTTACAATATTTCCAAAAAAAAAAAAAAGAAGCAAAACAACAGATTCAGTCATCAATACCTATCAAGTGTAGCGAAGTTTAATTATTTCATTTCGGTTCACGCGGCATATCTTCGCGGCGACAGATGTCGCAGAGAGCACAGATTGTGTCGCTTTTTCGAAACGAAGATCATCGTAAGCTACAAAGATAACACAGAGAGCACAGGTCGTGTCGCTTCTTCGAAACGAAAATCATCGTAAGCTAATTAAATCGACAAAAGATATCACAGAGAGCACAGATTCTGTCGCTTTATCATCATAGACCAGTTAAAGCGAACGAGATTTTTGTCTTGCATGGCAAACCAATTTGATCCCATTTAAAACGACATGAATTATTTGAAGTGCAGTCACAGGCTTCCCTCAAGGCTTACTTTTTCATTTGCGTAATTTTCTTAAATTCGGAATTTTTGTTAGCCCTTCCTGTAGCCCATGGTACCGTTGTCACAGTCTTCCAGATCACTAGTTTCTCTTTTTATTCATTTTCTTCATTACATACTATCCCTCGTCTTTATCACCTTAAGTAAGTATTGACTTTTCCCACATTTACGCGACCTAAACTTGATTTCATTGACTTAAGCACGTACTCGCAATTGTCGCCTGAGGGCGCCATCTCGTAAAATAATAATAAAGAAATGTGTGTATAAAATTGGGTGAGCATAAGCTTGGCTTGAATTGTTTACTTAACATATATACAAGAAGCTGTTGTCCAGTAATGCGTGAGTACCCGATGGTATAAGTAAGTGAATGTCTGTGTATGTATGTGGGCGGGTGTAATCACGGATGGTGATTTGACGTCCCAGCAGGCCCAGTTTTTTTTGGGATGAGAAAAACAAATATCAAACATAGATGCACTGATCGAATGATCGAGACTATATTACCTAATACATGCACAGAAGCTTTCTTCTGGCCGTTGCGAACGAAATTCCTCTAACACTCTTATTATTGATTAATCATTTTCGTTTTCCACAGCATATACAGAACTTTAGTGTGGCCCCTGTTCGCTTACCGTGTACATATACAGAATCCTTAAGTGATTTACTCTTCTAAATTTCATAAATCACAAGCTCCAAGTAATATCATTCAAGAACTTGCTTACTTAAGATATTCGAATAACATAGAGCTACGCATCACGGCCCAACGCAGTCTTATTTGGCTTTGTAGAATTTTATTTTGATCACTTCAACTTCAGTGATCATTTTGGATGCAAATGTGAAATAAAGTAAAATTGAATAAGCATTTTGCTTCGCTAATTAAGAAAAAGAAGCGGTTGAGTAGCCACAAGTCCTAACCTCAAATCGATGGATAATTAATTAATCAATTGATTGATTGCAGGCTTAAGCTTAGGTCTGGTTCTCATATTTTTCTATCTTTCAGCAAGTCAGAAACGCAATTTCATATTTCCGGAGGTCATGAAAAAATTGGTTCTTGCCAAGAGACTCGATACTCATAACACTTCCAAAGGGGTTATAAGTTCACCTATTCGTATGTCTTCACAGCAAGAAATTTGCAGATCTCCGTGGTATCGTTTTCTAGGTCATTGATTAAGTTTTATTTAGCTACAATCACAAGCGGTGCACTCCATCAGACAACGTAATCTTTAATACTTTTTTGGTTTTCAAAAAGAAACGTGAAAAATTTTATTTGAAATTTTGCGGCAAAAGTCTTTATCTATTTTCTGGACGTTCAAAAGCCACACGCCTTCTTCATGCAGATTCCTTCAGTGTTTGAAGAATTTTTCTCTTAAAATCAATAATCGGCTCTAGCAATCAGGAAATCATCGAAACTAGTCTTAATTTCGCATTTTTTAAATCGTTGTTCTGATCAGTCTTCCGAAGCGTACTCTCAATAGAATAGCAAAACTATTTGTTACTTCCTCTTGCAATAATCATCGAAATCAGTTTTTCAAACACTTTAACATCGATTCGTTATGTTTTTAAATTAGTTTCATTCCATTTAGATGGCTTTCGAAATTCAGTCAAAATATTTTTTTCGAATCTATCATTGAAAGAAAATGTTTTCAAACCTAATAAAATAAAGTTAATAAAAAATAAAGCTGTTCTTCTTAAAAATCCTAAATTTGTAGTATTTATTTTTTCTATATTCTTTTTAAATTTTTTTGTCGAACTTTTTGTTTAAACCTTTCGTTGAAACTGCACATAAATTCATTGCTGAGCTTTTACAAATAATTTCGGGGTAAAAAAATGGCTGATGAGGCAGAAGCGCCGCCACCTCCTCCGGAGGGTGAACCTAGCCCGGAGGGTGAACCTAATCCGGAGGGTGAACCTAAACCGGAGGGTGAACCTAAACCGGAGGGTGAAGCAGGTGAGGCTGGTAAAGAGGGAGAAAAACCTGCGGTTGATATGGATGATGGAGAAGATTACAGCCCGTTGGGATCTGCGGATAATCTGGAGAATCAGCGTAATTATAAGGATTACAAAAGGCTCGTAAAGGAGATCAACTGTCAAAATGAAACCATCGAACGTGTCAAACAACAAATCCAGGACATAGCTTGCAAGTCGTGTGCCACAAGTTGTGAGAAAAAAGATCTAAAATGCCTGCAAGAATGTTTGGAGCAGGAATTGGAAAAGTTACGCTGTTTAATAAACAAGGCAATGCACTTGCAAAACTTTGGCTCAAAGCGTCGATATAAAGAAATTCCACTCGTCACGACATTCGATGAGGATCAAATGACTCCCATATCTTACTACTGCGATACAATGCAAGTGAAGACATCGAAGAAAACGCCTGTCAAGCGAGAACATGGTACATGCTGTCCAGCGAAAGATTCTGCCGAAGCCAAGCGAAGTTCTTCAAGCAGTGAATGCGATAGATCGCGATCACGTCAAGAGTGCTATGACAGTCAAGGATCATCCGAGGAAAGAGATGAGCAGTGCGAGGATAAGGAAATAGTGAAGGAAATCCTTGAGACATTGAAAATATGTAAAAAACAAAAAACATGTCCGCATAAAAAAAAGAAGACGTCGCAAGACTATTCATCGGTTGATAAATTAAAGGAGAAATTATGCTGCATGCAAAAAACACTTGATCAGTTAAAGGACGAGGTTTGTCGACGAAAGATTGAGAAAGATATAAACCAGCCCTGTCCACATCATCAGAAAAAAAAACACGACGTCAATAAGCCTTGCCCTCCTAAATCGCATTCCAAAAACTATGACGACGACTGTGATCAAGGATCACCCCCCGTAGACACCTCCATGTTGTGCAAATCAACCAAGAGCAATAAGGAAGATCAACTTCAAAAGCTCAAAGGAAACTACATCTATTTGCTGACCGAGTTCAGTAAAAAGGATGACCAACTTAGGGAAATGAGTGACAAGCAAGTATAAATATATTTTAAATAAAAATTTATAAAAATTGGATGTTTTGGTAACAGATTGAAAAATGCCTGCGGTGGTGGAGCAGGAAAAGTTCCTTGCGGCGGTAAAAACGCCAGAGGTAACGCCGATGAATCTGAGTTGATTTTGCTGCGTAACCGTGTCAGCGACTATGAAGAGGAGCAAAGGGAATTCAAGTGTCTGCTAACAGAGCAATCGTCGCAATTGGAAGATTACCGCGACAAGTATTTAGGTGCCCGACAAAAAGTCGAGGAGCAGAAAGCCACAATCGATAAACTTAACATGAATAATAAAACTGTTGAAAAGCAAATCAATGCGGAAGTAAAGCAGATAAGAGCTAAATTCCAAGAAAAGCTATGCGAACTATTGCAGTATCCGAAACTACTTGAAAACGAACAGCTGAAGTTGGCTGAGACTTGTAAAGAGAAAGAAGATTTAGAGGACAAACTTGTGATTGTTTGCAAAGAACTGAAATCACTGAAACGGAAGCAGGGTGACTCAAACGGCAAAGACGATTGTCAATCGCAGCTTCGCGAATCTCAAAAGGAGCTAGAGAAAGTTAATAAAAATTTGGAGGAAGCGCAAAGACAACGCGACCTTTTCTGCGAACAATTGAGAAATACAGAAGAAGATCTAAATACTCTACGCTGTGAATCGGCAAAGATAATTGCACGCACTAAGGAAAGGGCCGAAGTAATGAGAGAGCAAATGCAAAATCGTATGGATCGCTTGGAAAAAGATCTTGCCCAATGCAGAGCCGCCGCTTGCATGTCCGTGAACGACCGTGAGACTGTCATAAACGAAATGAGAGGACAAATTAATACATTGTCGTATAGCTTCGATTCAGCCCAGAAACAAATAAAAACGTTACGTAACCACATAGCCTACATGTCAAATGAAAACTGTTTCCCCATTAAATGTTGACAGCATGCAGACTTTGCTTAAAAATCTACGCAACAAGGTATTTATTACAAATAATTCAATAGCATAGAATTTTGATTCAATAGATTTTGTATATGTATTCTCAAAATTTTTTCAATGTATCATTTGTTCACTTTTCCGTAAATAAAAACAAATCTTTTCAATAAATTTCTTTCGACTTTTCATTCATATTAAGGATTGTGACGTGGGTTTATAGAGATTTGACGGCTAAACGTTTCATTTTGGGAGCTTTCTTTTTGGCTTGACGCTTCTGTTCCTTCATCTCCCATCGACGTTGCTTTTCGGGATCGTCCTCAGCCATGACCCGTTCTTTCTCTTGTTTTCGCTTTTCTTCACGTCGTTGAGCTGCAGCCTCGGCACGTGCAGCATGAGTACTCTTTAAAAATTCCTCCTCCACTCGCAAACGATTACGTTCAGCTTTTTGTTTTCCCTAAAAGCCAAAAGAAAAAGATTGAGCGGTTTTTTATCAGCCTGAATAGAATAACGTTCTGTTTAGCTTTGAATTCTTTTGCAAAAAAACTGATGGATGCGATGTGCCCCAAATGGGTACAAATAAATGGGAATATTAAACAATCTTAAAGCTTACCTCTTTGGACATGCGATAGGTTTTCAGTCGTTCCATTAAATAGAATATAAGAATAAATAAAGGCTTAACAGCTTCCATATTCCCCTCTCTTGGTAGATTAAAACCAGCCCATAAAATAGGTTTGGTGTCGGGCTGTTTTAGAGTATTTGCATCTTCTTGCTGCACTGGACCACTGAATTGATCAGATATATGTAGGTAATCAATATATTGTTGATATTTAGTTAAAGTAATTATGACACGATTCTCTAATATAGCAGCAGTAGCCTCAGGTATTTCAGAAAGTACGCTTAAACCATTTGGCACATTATAACGTATCTCTGGCTTACTGACTTGAGTGCAGTATTTGCTCTGAATGGAAAAAGAAATTATGAAAAAAGCAAAAAATGCTAACAACAATAATAATTACCAAGTCCGAGTATTCCTTAAAAACTTTAGTAACAGTTCTTTTTGTGCCCACGAAGAAAACAAATGTGTCCATTACACCGCGTGTTAGATCAATTTTTATGTGAATTTGATCTTGCTGGGGTCGCATTAATCCAGCCATTAATGACACCACATCCTGACGTTTTATCATTTTCAACTCAACAAGCATACCTTCGCAGCAAGTACGACCTGAGCACCATAAGGTATACAGACTCTCGCTTTCTTTTATCAAGCCATTTTTTTCATTATCCATTTTGCCATCATCTCCCACCAAAACAAAATTATCATCAAGCAACGCCCGATGCGTGTTAAACCACCGATTAGCTAAGTTTGCATTTTTTGCTTTGCCGGCAAAAAAGTTAATGAAATAAACCATTAAACCAGCTAACATAAGCATTTCCATCCAATAAGAATCCCAATGAGTTCTATAAAATCGATACTTTCGTCAATTTGAATTATTTTTTAATGGCGCAAATTTACCTAAAATGCATCGGTATTTTGGCCACGGTTAGCTTAGGCTCTGTTTTTTGGTCCAAATCCTCGTCATCTTTATCAGGTGAATCGAAACCCTCGAATTCCTCCTCGTCCTTAAAGAACTCGTCCTCATCTTCTACAATGCCATCATCATCGTCATCCTCTAGAATACTATGATCCCTTTTAAGGCCTTTCTCCGTCAAAGTGGGGATTTCTTCCGCTGTAGATAATTGGGGCCCAACGTTCGATTGTTGTACTTCCACAAAATCATCATCACTATCGAAATCTTCAAATTCTGCAAAGTCATTATCTTCAAAGGAGGAATCGGCAGTAGCAGCTGGACTCAAGCAACATTGCGTAAGCATTAAACACAGCACTATAAACTTGGCATTCTTTTCATGCATCATTTTTTAAAGGAAATTGCTCAAGATGTTTTTAACATAATCTAAAATTTGTATTGCTCCTGGTTTCATTCAATGCCCGCCGAGGATAGGTTCTTTCAAAAGATATACGATTTATACTTTTTCTTTTATTTATGCGCTACGTTTTGCTTAATAATTTATGCAGTTATACGAGTTATACGTCTCCTCTTTTGACAACGTCTAACATTTATTATAAAAACGTCAACTTTTTTACCTGGCAATACTTCCATTAAAACTGCAGGTTATTAGCAGAAATCCAAATCAAAAAAAAAAAACAATAAAGTAACAGATTCCACCGTTGAAGCTTGTGCTCGAAATCTTTACGTAGTAATATGTGCGCAAAATATTCGTGTATTATAAAGGTTTAATTCATACTTATATTATATATTAAAATTATCCGCGAATGCGTTACAAAACGCTAAGAATATAAAATTTGACTTTACGCACTTACTTTTAAAGGGAGATTAAGTTAATATAGAAAATTTATATCCTATAAATTTATTTTTATATATTTTAATTAACTTTAATTACATATTTGTATATGTAACGTAAGATACATATTATATATCTGAAATTTGACCACTTGTTGCGACTCTAAATTTTGCTTCATCTAAGAGTAAGCGTCTGAATTTGATACACCCGAAACGATATTGCCTCAAGTGAAGAACAAATGTTATTATTTTTTGTTTTTTTTTTTTCATTTTGTAAATTCACGGTAATTTAATTCCATAAAAATTGATTAAAAATTTGGCTTGCGGTGCTTTTTTAATTATCGCATTTTGGTGTGGGTTAGAAAAGCGTTCGAAATGTCCGAGCAATACTTGAGCATTTTATTGGCAAATAAACATTGAATATTCTTGGATTTGCAGCATTGCCGTTTTGAATAGCTAATGTAATATTAGTGAATTGTTTATATTAACGTCGCTGAATTAGTATTTTTGATCAGCTGCTACATTCATATTTTCGCATCCAGGCTTGGCAACACTGAAACATGTTGAGAAGAGGAAAGAGTAGCATAAATATACAAAAGATTAGAAACAGTCTCGAATTATTATTTTTAGCATTTTTTCGAAATTATTGGTGCAAAGTGTAGAATTTGGTGGTTTTCAAGGGCTTTCGATCCCTGTTGGCATGAATTCAAGCTCAAGTTCTTCGTCAGGTAGTACTTCGTCAAGCGGTAGTTCGAGTTGTTCAGACAGCTCAGGCAGCACAACCGACGATACAAACGAAACAAGTACTTCAAGTGATGTAAAACCTAATAACAACACTTCTAAAGGTAACGATTCCAAAAGCAAAAATCAGCCAAATACGCGAAGGAAAAGTTCGGAAAATAAATTAAATCAACAAAAGTTGAATGAAATTGATAAAGTTACCTCAAAATCAAAAGCAATTACAAACGGCAATGCTACTCAACGCCAGTCAAAACCCAGTGTTTTTTCAAGTGAAGACGATACGCCGCCACCCAAACGACCGATCCGAACAACCGCAAATGCAATTACGGGACCAACTAGTACGCAAAGACGTAAGAGTTCAGGAGCGGCTGCAAGCGCGCCATTTGTCTTAACATCTTCCAAACTTCAAAAACCCGCTACGGAAGTAGCTCCAACGAAGGACGTTGCTAATAGCAGCAAAGCTGGTAAAACAGGTGCTGAAACAGAAAAGGATAAGCAAGTGGGTTTGTCAGCTGATTCAGAGGCTTCGGAAAAAGGACCTGCATTGAGAAAAGGAAAGTCAGATAATCAAAAACCAGCAACAAAAAACGCAACAACCGAACAGACAGTAAAAGGAAAAGGCCCTCCACCAAAACGTGGACTGCCGGGCAAAGCAGCTAATAACGCAACTAGACGTAAGAGTGTCGAAGAATCTGAATATGATAGTGCGTCCGGATCAGAAGATGAATCTAGCAGTAGTAGTAGCGAAACAGACAGCGATAGCGACTCTTCGTATTCAACGAAAGCAGGTAGAAGTCAAAGGAATAAACGTCAAATCAAAACAAATGGTAATAACAAGGCGGGCAATTCAGATAGCGATGAATGTCATACACGAAATATGTCCAACAGGAAACTTACACGCTCTCTAAGTACTCGGCAAAATAAGCAACAATTGAAACCTACAACGGTTGGAGGAGGTGGCTTTGCGTCCGAAACAGACTCAGATGGTCGAGAAATAAAACGTGCCCTCTCCAAGAGCCCTGCCAAAAAAGCGTATCTTGGTGGTACTGGAGGCGTTGGTTTAAGTAAATGTAAAGTAAAAAAAGAGGTGGGATTAGGCAGTATATCTCTTATGCCGCGAGCACCCTCACCTCCGCAATTAGAGAAAAAATGTCCTATTGAAGGATGTGATTCTTCTGGTCACCTGAGTGGTAATTTCGATCGACATTTTTTGCCAGAAGCTTGCCCAATCTATCACAATATGTCTGTTTCTGAGTGCAAAGAACGGGCTAACGAACGTAAATTACGCAGTGAAGTGCGTACAAAATCATCAACTAATTCCAATAGCATCGATGCCCAAAAGATCGCCTCCTATACGAAGCATGCACAAACCCCCGAGCAAAAAGAATTTTATAATAAGATCAAAGACTCTCGATCACGATTTAAACCTATTTCAGACATTGTCAGCAACGATAAGGTAAAACTGGAGAAAGATTGTACAGATGAGGATCGAGAACCTAGCTTACTAGGATTGGTACCCGACTATGATTTGCAATTGTTTAGAGATGCACAGGCTTTGGCCTCTGAAAAGGTAGAGGACGAAGTCAAAGACTTGCCAATCGGTAAAGGCATAAAGTAAGTCACATGAAAATGTGGAATTTAAGAAAAAAAATTTGCTAATAATCCATATCTTAGATATATAACTATGGGGAAATATAAAATGAAGGTGTGGTACCAATCTCCGTACCCTGAAGATGTTGCGCGTCTACCTCAAATGTATATATGTGAATTTTGTTTACGTTACCAAAAATCTGAAACAGGTATTAAGCGACATGCCCAGAAATGTGTGTGGCGCCATCCTCCAGGCGATGAGATTTATCGAAAAGGCAAATTACAAGTATGGCAAGTGGATGGTAAACGCCATAAACAATATTGTCAGCACTTGTGTTTGCTGGCCAAATTCTTTCTCGATCATAAAACTCTATACTACGATGTGGAACCATTTCTCTTTTATATAATGACTTTGGCTGATGTTGACGGTTGCCACACGGTTGGTTATTTTAGTAAGGTAATTAATTATATTACAAAAAAATAACCTTTAATACTTTCAAAATGTTTAGCGACATTATTTCAAAGTTTATTTTAACATCGTTCAAAAACCTAAAGTCTTTGACGAAGAGGTAATAAGCAACAGTTTGAAAGGGTGCTCAGAATCACAAGAACTCGATTGCGATTTTTATGCTGAATATTACAAGTGATAACCTTAATTTATTTACTATTCTTTCAAAATCATTTTCGGAATCCATCTAAGCTTGTCTGTCCGTCTTAACTTCTTGTGTCCAACTTGCAGGCAGTTATTTTTAAGATATTTCAATGACATGTTTTTGGCCCACAGATGAACGCTATTGAGCATCCTGGCCATTTGGTTCGGATCGGACAACTTTTTCGATCACTTCCCACTTAACGCCTTAGTTTGAATTGTCGATGTCTGAATAATTGTAAGGCGATGTAAGGTATTGGCTAGTGCACCCTGCCCCCAATGATAATGTTTTTACCACTTTTCTTCATTATCCTAAGACCTCAAAGCATTTCTTTTCGTTTTTATTTATTATAATTTATAACATATACATATGTACATGCAAGTAAGTTCAACACAATTCAATATATAGGGAAGTATACTTCATTAAATAATATCTATTTTTGTACATTAGTGACATATTTTTTCCAGATACGAATACTTATTCGCTGAAAAAAAGGTCATGAACGCGCAATATTTTGAAACTTTGAACATTATTGTTATGTAAATCAAACGAGAGGTTTTTATAAAAGTCTTACTGTATTTCAAATTGTAAGCCATGTACGCTTAGCTATAGGAGAAATTAAAATTCCTAAAAATATTTGGAAGTAAGAAAAATCTATTGTTATCAATATTAGTTATATTGATAAGATTTCTGTTCGCCATGGAAAGTACCCGCCATCTGAGTTTACATATAGTACGCATAAATTAAAATCGAAAAACTTACAGAATATGAACAAAAAGAGATAGAAGCTTCAGTTCGGATTAAGCCAGTTAATTTAATACTCATTGTGATAGCTGGATCGATCTATGAAATTAATGCATGTTTATAAATCATATTTACACTGATCAAGAGTACATGTATTCTTTGTGAGTATACACTTAATATACTCGCTCGGCTTGGCGTAAATATTCGACTCGCTGAAATAGAAAATCAGTCTTGAAATAAAATCCCATATGCAATAGGGACTGTCGGTAATTTACTTCATCAATGCAAGCAAGATACGCAAGGAGTCTACCTTATATTATCATAAAATAAGGGCAACTAACTCCGCTGATCGAGATAATACATCTTCATGTGTGGAATGTACAGAATGATTTTTAACATTCCGTCCGAAAAAATCAAAAAAGTGAAAAAAAATAAAAATAAAAACTTAATCGTTTATAACATTGCGTAGGCGCGGTCAATTCTTTTCCATTTTGCAAATTTTTAATGTTGCAGTTGTTGCAGACAATGTTTTCCTCGGAAATTATATAAATAAGTCAGTACAGAATTTGACGCTAATCAAGAATACATATGCTTTATGGGGTATCTGAACTTTCTTACTGGCTGTTGCAAACGTTTTGGCAAAACGAACATACCCATCTTTGGTGAGGGAAATAAAAATGGGGTAACTTTACAAACGTTTGAAAATAATGGGTCTACGGAAAGTATATGTTTCCAATGTTTGCATTATGAACAAAGATTGCAACAAAATGTACAGACCGTGGTATTCGAGTAACTTATGGTTCGGAAAATAATAAAAGTACACAACTTACGATTTTAGGTTCGATGGCAGAATGGGTTTCTGCTAATTAACAACAACGTCTTTGTTATACTTAACCTGTTAGACAAACTCAATCATATAATTTCAAGCGGAAAAAAAAAGCATGCGCCCATGTACACATGTCCAATAGAAACAAAAAACATTTCGTCGATTTTTTGGTGACGCTTTCTGCTGGTTATACAGACAATTAATATGTAACCAGCAAAAAGTTTCTACTCACTTTAAGGTGGTGAATATGTAACAACCATCAGCTTACGTCAAGAACGTGAAGTTCATTTGATAGTTCGCGACTATTTTTATGCTGAAAGTTTAAATAACTCTTTTCAAACAGCCCGCGGCGTTTTTTATTTTGAGGGTTTTCTGGGCAGATTCCATAGGTCAATAGACGTAAGCGACGAAATGAAGTCGTAATTTTATGCTTTTATATAAGTAGTTCCGTGCGTACATAGACAAAACGAATCCGTTCTTATCTATCGCACCAATATGTCAAGTGCCAAGAAAATATGTAAAAATTTGTCAAATTTCTAAATTCTCCAACCAACCACTCGTAGGAGTGTATGCAACATTGCTGATGGGAGCTTTCGTATGTCAAAGAAAAAATAATTCAAACACACAGGCGCTACTTTGTAGTTTTCTTGCTTAATTCGGAGGAAATTAGTGCAAAATCCTGACGAGTGAAGAGAAATGAAAGCAATGCAATATCGGAAATAAAGAAACCTTTGCGTAGAACTCAATGAAAAAATTAGTATCCACTGTAAAGCCGAATGCTTTTCGCATTTCAGCCATCTTAGCCGCTATTGCTGGTCTTTTTTGCAACACTACATGGTTCAGTTTGTTCAATTGACATATGTCGGTAGACATATGCAGTAACAGTTTAAATCGGTTCTCATAATACACTACAACTTGCCGATCCCATCATATGCACACTAAAATTGTATGCCCACGAATATTCCGCTTCGGTATCGATGTGGATAGCTGTCCTGAACTAAGCCGTGATTTTTTGCGCGGGCATTGTTCCTTATGTTATTCTTTTTTTTCTTGCCTGGCAAGCAATTACATTACGTAAGGTAAATGTCTAAAAACAGTTGATTCATCAGCTGCTACGCTATTCGAAAGTTGTTTGAGAGTTTGACCTGGGTTTTCGTCCAAGTGCTCTTTGAAATTTTTTTGGTGTTCTTGGCCGTTCTTTGTAACTGACATCAAAATCACAATTTTTAAACCGATGAAATCAAACCCGACAATTGGGATATAATGGAGCAGCTTCACGATAAGCTTCTAAAGGGGATGAGCTTCGGCAGCAGATTTCTTCAAAGCAGACCACAGAAGTAGTTAATGTCGAAAATTCAATTTCGAGTCTTCCTTGATTAGCGCCTGTGTGCACTGAATAACCCAATATTACTAAATGGAAAACTGTGATTTCCGATCGAGAAAGGTCAAAATCATCGAATTTACCGTTGTCTACACTGGTAATCCGCATTACTTTACCATTTTTAACTGTAGATGTCGCTGCTCAAAATTAATGCATGCATCCGATATCTTTATACCACATCTCCCACATCTTGGATACATCTCGCGTTAGAACGCATCCCTTTTGCCCACAATGTTTAAAATTTCGATCGTATGTAGGAGAAAAATTTAATTGTAGAAAGATTCCGGCTATTTTCAAACCAAGAAATGGCCTTCAAAAATAAAAGGACACGAGTAGGCTGAGCTCACAAATCCTATTTTGACAGGAATTTTTTACAGCGCATCTTCGTACTTCGTACCTTCGTTCGGCGAAAAAAAGCAATTTTTAACAAAATTCAAAGCATTACAAAATAAACAATTTTTGGGAACTCTGATCAAACTGGGTAACTCACTCCGTCCTCCCGGTAAAATTGTTTTTATTATTCGTTTGTTTGACACAATGTCACCAATTGCATGCAGATTTTTGTTAAACGTAACCACAAAGTTGAAAATTTAAAAGTGAAATTAATTAAGTATGAAAAACAGTTTTTTTTTTTTTTCTATAAATTATTTTAGTTTTTTTTCTATATTTCACTTGCTTAACCTTTACATTCATTACATAGGATAAGCAATACTAACGTTTCCGTAGGGCAGGGAAGCAGCAGTGGCAAACACCAGAAGAGATAGAAAGAGAGTGCGAAAGATTGAGTGAGAATGAGAGAGATAGATAGATGGAGAGAGAGAGAGAGAGAGAGAGACGGACAGACAGATAGCGAGAGAGTGGAAAGTTTTGCAAGTCCATGCTCTCATGTTCTTGACCATACCCAAAAAATGTTGATTAACATACAACGACACAACAATGTAAAGTGAAACAAAGTGGAGTTTGTAGACGAGTGCTGCACTTTGCTCGTTTTTGTCTATGTTTTGTTAACTGTCTGACTCTTTTTTTCATTTTTTATTTTATTTTAGTTTTCGTACATACACAAATGTGTAAATATGTATATGTATATATATATATATATGTATATGTACCTTGTTCCGGCTCCCTCAATGTCGAAAGCATTGAATGATTATATAGAAGAAGAGCATGTACTCGTATGTATGCTTTCACCAGGATTTACCGATACATTTAATTCGTTCTTGTTGTTGTTGTTGCTGTTGTTGTTGATATTTTGCAGAAGCCAGGCACCCAAATAAGGTAGGGCAGGGCAATGTAGTGTAATGTAACCCTTAGAGGGCTATGGTGAATGACAATAACCGCGATAACAACGGAGCAGACTGGGTTTGTGTTACAAATTGCGCATGTCGTGCCGTTGACTTTTGGTCCTCTCACACTCTTAACAACGAACTTTAAAGTGTACATTGTCTGGGCGTTTAGTGCTTTAACCAACAACAACAATAACAACAGCACTTGAGTAAATAACGCAAATTTTTATAATTTAAAATACTTTGCATTTTTTTTGTTTTCCTTTTTTTGTTTAGCAATGAATTTATATATAACTTTAAAATGAGCTTGTGGGAAAAAGATTAATATAATTTTTTTTCTTTTTTTCAACTCCTTTAAACTATATTCATAATTAAAATTAAGAGCACTTGGTTATTTTTTTTTTTTCAAACTTGCTCAGATTTCTGTAACATTCATGAATTATCAGACCAGACCAGTCTAACTATTTATTTACTAGAGTTAGTTGTCGTTGGTTATGTTTTGGTGGTTGGATGGCAATATAGTTTATACATATATACGATATATATATGCGTATATGTTCTTTGCTTGTATCTGTCTCGTAGAGAAATTGCAGCAGTTCATCAGACGATGATTGTGCGTAGTCGCCATTTGCTCTTTGCCAGTGCAGCATAATGAGGTCGTGAACCTCTACACGTTACGAATTCCAGGGGATACAATAATGATTATATACTACAATGCTCTAAAATATATATATGTATATATATATGTATATATATATATATAAATTTCTTAGACCCGCATAGTTGATATATTATTATATACTTGTACTTATATTTATCAAGAAGCAAGAAAACATTACAATTTCATTTTGGTATGTAGCGGAAATTTATGACGTTATGACGGCGTTTTATGATATATTATATATTAAACAAGATAAACCCATAAAAAAAGAGATAAGTATTTCTTATAATTAATTAACTATCGTGTATTGACTAGAGAGAGAGAGAGACAGAAAATATTTTATAGACAAGAATCATTTTCAGAATCCAGATCAGATGATTTTCCGAAGCCTAAAAGTGTGCTATGAAATGTTTAAAAGTTTGCTACCAAAAGAATGCCACAAACTAAATTCTAAAAGTAAAAATAATTTTTTTACTCACCTTTCATTCGGTATTTGTTATTCGTCTCTACGAAGCACAACACTATCGAGACGTCTTGCAGCGAATCCGTAAAACAATTTTCAAATTTGATCCTTCATCGCTTTGCGTATAAATTAAGTGAATGAAAGTTTGAATCGAATTCGATTGGTTAACCTGTTGTTAGGACTTGAAAGAAAAAGAAACTTGAAACAAAATACTTAAATATAACGCGGATATCCAACAAAAAAGTAGGTGTCAAGAAGTGAAAAGAAAAAAAAAAACGAAACTTGATATGATTGTAGCAACGTTCCCTCTTTTACTACTACGTAAGAATACGCTTAATGTCCAAAGTGTGTCTTATATACATATATATATACATATGTATCAAATTCACTTAAGCCATATAAATAACGTATAACTTTTCCATTAAATGCACAAATAACATTTCAAATGTGTGAGATAATGTCAACTTCTTTAATTTAAGATCAAAAGTCAGTCTAACAGATCTAACAATGAGATTACGGATCTATTCTTTATTGTTGTTGCATTTCTAGTAATCTTTCCACGATGTTGTCATCATGAATACATTCATTTAATAAGAATAGAATTAAGAATAGAATTTTAAAGTTCTGAGGTAATTTCTTCTTCTATGTACCATGACAGCAGGCTTTGAGATTAAGTTTAATCTTTTTAATCCTCAATTGCAAACCTTGATTTCAACATCTTGCATCAGTGGTGGCTGCGAACGTTTACGAACGAAACGAAAGAATCATAAAAGAGCGAAAATATGGAGCTAATGGCTCTTTGGCTCTTTGTCGTGCTAAACTTAAGATCGATGCCTGAAACCAATGTTGGAATCATGTTCAAACTCATTTCCAAATACTCGATTAACACGATTTGATTTGAATGAAGCCAGTAATGAATGGCGGATTAGATTGGATGATTATTTTGAAGATCCCTTACACAGGCACAAGGTTCAAAAATTAAATAATTTAGAAAGAAGAATAAGCAAAAGGTAGACGTTCGAAAATTCTCCTAAATCCTAAGTCAATTACATTTTACAATTTTTCACCGTTACTAATATCCTGCGTCAGCGCCTCTCCAAGCACATTCATTTATCCAAGTGTGCACATTTGTAATGTAATGTAATAAAGAGAAAAAAACAAAGTAGTTACATGAAAACTTTCTCAATGCCGTTATATTGTCGCGTTTCCTTATTTTCTGCATAAATATAAACGAATTTACACACATTCGGAAATATATACGCCTACTTATATAAATACATATACATGTATATGTATATATAGCTATATATTCGAAAATTTTGAATGCATCTCCGTATAAACGTATTAAACTTTCGAAACTGCTACGACAATCATGAGAACAACTGGTATTACTACTATTACAACTACTACTGCTACTACTAGTACTACTACTACTACTACTACTACTACTATTATTATTATTATTATTATTATTGCTACTACTACTTCCACTACCATTAGTTCGTTTTAAAATTGATTGTTATTGTTGCTATTGTTGATTGTGATTGTAGTAGATTTTACCGACATATGCATGAGCACGAAGACACACACACACATATATATATATATATATATATATATATACATTCTTCTCTGTTTTGGGTGCTTGTTTGATTGTTAAAAGCTCTCCGCTCGTACAATATGAATGTATATACATTTATATAGAAATGTACACATAAACGTATTAATACATATGTAAGTGCAAAGGATGCCGGTTAGAGTCCTTTCAAGTTTTTTTTTTATATATATGACGTTATCTCCCTAGCCATCATAAATGGTCGCCTAGATGACTGGCTGCTTGTAATTCTGTCTGTTTTTTTTATGTGTCTGACTGCTATTTTATATATTTATTTATGTATAATTCCCATCCATATATATATATATTCGTATACAGCTGCACACAATTATAGAAATTTCCCACTATATATATGTATATATATATATATATATATATATATATATGTATACCTATGTATGAGCGTCCACAAACGTTCACATGCTCAGACAACGATATAGTAATGCTGCAGCTATATTTAATACTCTCCGAGAGGTCATTGAACTGCCAAAAATTTTTAAGTCTGTAAATTGACCCCATCGACCATACATACGCATAACATACAGATGTCCGTTTCATATTAATTTTATATCATTTCGTGTATTATTCAGTTTATTAAAAAAGTACTTTTTGATGAAATTTTATATAAAAAAACATACAAAAAAAAAAACACTTATAAGCGAATTTTAATTTTCACAATTGGAACGTAATGCATCAATGTCAACTCAATGCTTATAAAATAGGCTTCGGGGCGTTTTTAGGTAAACAAAACTTATTCAATAATTTTTCGTGCACAGGAAATACATAATTGCAACTATACTTAGGCTTTAGTCATCATTATAATTAATTAACAAGTGAAAAGACTGTGTTGGGCCATGATTTTCCAAAACGAGTTGTTGTATAGGAAGTGGCCGAAATAGCGTTCGTCCTTGGGCCAAAACACATCAGTGTTCCAAATTTAATCACAATGTCTCCATCGTTGCGGCCTATAGGTTGAACACAAGAGAATAAGACAGACGGACAGACAAGCTTAGATCGGGGTAATAAAAAGTATTATCTATCTCAAGTCCTTCTGAGGGTTGCATACATCATACATTAAATATATTTTTGTACCGCAAGTGGTGTTGGTAGTGAAAATTAGAATCGAACATTGTTCGTTTTCGAAAATGTTTGGATGCAACTTAAATGTAAATTATAAGTGGAATTTTTTTTTTTTTTCAAGAAAGTCTTGTTGAAATCCTTCATACAAATTTGATTTAAATTGTTTGAGCTGTTTTATTTCTTTCTCTGCTTTTTTTTTTTTTTTTTTTTTTTTAGGAAAAAAATTCATTTTACAATGTCTCGTGTATACTGACGCTACCTCCTTACCAGCGAAAGGGTTACGGAAGATTACTAATTGATTTCAGTAAGTAGCTTGTAATCAATATCCTTGTGCTTTCAGTTCTTACGTACATGTAGGTCACTCAAGAACTTCGTTAGCCTATTAAAATAACATAAATTAATGAATTAGGACGTATTTATTTTTAAGTACATTTTTGTTTATATTAACCATTTTTATGCACGTCACTGAAGGATGAGGGGTATATTTATTTGTCAAAACGTTTGCAACGCCCAGAAAGAGGCATCAGAGATCCCACAAAATAGATATATTCATGATCGGTAACAAATTCTACGTCGTACTGTCACGTCCGTCTGTCCGCCTGTTGTAAACATTCTTCTGGCCGCAAAAATGAAGTTATCGACTTCAAATTACGCAGAAACACTAGAAATTCTTACACGTAGGTTGGCATTGAAAATGGGCCAAATGGGTCGAAGGACGCGTCCACAATACCCCTCGGCTGATCGTCTGTCCATCTGTCTGTTTGCGTGACGTTTTAGTAGTTGTCTACAACGCCAATGTAGTAGTTGTCTATAAATCGTGAAAATTATGTTCTTTTGCTTCTTTTGTCTTTTTAGGATAACAGTGATGGGTAGAAAAAATTCGGTCCCGACCGAATTTAATTTTTTTACTTGTTTATTTTGTTTATATTAAATGGGTCGCGGCTCACGGATAAATGCTCCACCCCAGCCTGCAGTTATTCATACAATGACTTTTCAAAATAAGACGTCTTATGGGAAGCGATCAAAAATGGGGTGCAATGAGGACTATTTTTAATGGCGTTGGTTCTTGGTTCGAAAGAGAAAGAAAATAGGATGGACGAACGGACAGGCAATTCAATGTGTTGCATACATACGCACAAACTTAATACACCCTCGTATCATAAGCGGTGTAGGGTATAAAAAATCGATAATCAATAGGAATATCGTTCAAATCGTATTGAGCCTATACTTTTAATAAATTCTAAATATTTCGTGCTTCGCTTTCTTTCGCTCTATAAGCGGTTCTATTACTTGTGAAAGAAACGGAGGAACTCTAAATTCTAAACATTGCTCTCTTCCTCTCTCTGTATCCATTCCAAAACTTTGATACTGGAAAAGCGAAGAATACGTATTCCTTCATATCATATACAAGATGACATTGACCTTAGACGACATTGCTTTCGTGTCTTATTACAAATTAGCAACCGACATAAAAATATCTATATATATATATATATATATATATATATATATATTTGCAGACAGGTATGTGTGGACGTATAATGCGGCTAACAAACGCCATTAAACATAAGTACACTCACCATCGAAACATGCTTCGAAAAGGTATTTTGTGAGTTAAATTCGTGATTCCCTGATATAACCCAAGTTGCATACAAACGCAACTTTTCTTGTACATCTGCGAGTGTGTATAGAGATGCAAGTGCAAACAAAATTCATTTCATTTCATTTCGTTAACTCGCGTCATTATTAGCTATTCATGCATTTTTTTTTTTTTTTTTTTTTTTTTTTTTTTATATATAAATACTTAACAGAAAAAAGCAAACAAGGCAGTTTATAACGAACTTTGGATACCCATATTAAGTAAGGTTGCCGAATGAGGTAATTAGCAGAACTGCTACGGGAAATATAATTATTTCGATGTATTAACGAAGACTATACTTTTCTCGTCTTACGTGTGATAGCATTTAATTTAATCTACCGGAAACTTATATGATAACCATAAATAGGATTAAGAGAGGTGAAATGAAGCCGCATTGGATACAAAGTGCCGCTAACTTGAGATACAAATTTGGGCCAAATTATCCTGTAGGCGACAACTTGATATTTGATATTTGAATGATAGGAATGATTCGCTCGATAACAATATTTATTTCTTCCTTTTATATCAAGTCTTGAGAAGATTGCCACTTGTCTCGCTAGCGAATCTTTCAAGTGTATGTGTTGCCAATAAAATGAACGATTTAATAGACTGCCTTGCTACGATCGTGGCTATGATAAAATACCAACTGAATGAAGGGCGATGAAGTTTGGCAATGTTTCTTTATGGGTTGTTGTGTATATGTGTGTGTTGCTAGCCAACCAACTAGCCAACCAACTAACCAGCCAAACGCTCACCTGATGAAAATGTATGAAAGACAAAAAAATGGAAAAAAAAGAATTAACTAACCAGCTATAAGTATATATGACTATCTCTCAGTTTGTTGTTGCTGTTGTTGTTGTTGGTCTGTATAACATTATCCTCTATTTGATAAAACTAGTCTACCAGTCGTTCATTCATTCATTCATTCGTTCACTCAGCCAACCTGCAAAATTCAAGTCTATTATTTTATAATTAGACATGCTTTGTGTTTCGGCGTTATTGCTTTTCTTGTTATTCTTGTTGTTGTTGTTGTTGTTGTTGTTGTTTTATCATTATTATTGCATTTAAAATCAACAAAAAAAAAAAAAAAACAAAAAAAACAAAGGCATTGAAACGTCGCTGTCCGTCATTTACCAAAAGAGCCAAAACTTTTCATAGCCTTTGTGGTTAAGGTGTAAAATGTTTATATATACGTATGTGCAAACGTTTTCATTAATCGTCAGCTAGACATACACACACATAGACATGCATGCGTGCATGCATGCATGCGTAAAGCTTTGTAGTTGAGGTGCTTGTCAAATTTGCCATAAAAGGATCAAAAATGCTCTCATTGCTCATTCGTATATGGCTATGAAATTTACATACGGGCACATATGCATATACATATGCATATGCATGCTCTACACACACGCGTCTCCTCCAAAAAAAAAAAAAAACATTACATCAAGAAAATCTGAATAGAGAATGAGAGTGAGTGTGTTTACCTCATTTTTGTTACTTTTCTTTCCTTTCTTTTTTTTTTTTTTTTTTTTTTTAATATATTTTTTCTTTGTTTTTATTAATTTTTATTTGACTAAAATTAATTTAATTCGCGTTTTCGGTTGTCATTGCTACCACGTTTATTTGCAGACAACAAAGGTCAGGATAGGTCAAAGTAAAAAGGCGTCGTCCTCTTCATTAATGTCTAGCAATCTTTGCTTGTGATTCGGTTACCGAATAAAATGTAATGCAAGCACAGAATACATTTGATCACGAACTTGATTATAAAAGCGAAAAAAAAAAAACAAAATAAAAACAACAACAACAACAATAATAATAATAAAAAAAAAAAAATGTAAAGTAATTTTACTGTTTATTAAATTCTAGTTCGGCGAACTTTTGCAAATTTCTACCCATATATAGAAAGGCAGAAAATCTTTTCCTAGGATCGAGCGATTTTCTTTTTCTAAATGAAGAAATAAGTTCTTTTTATGAATTAAAAAGACTGGGAAAAAAGTTACATTCAAAGTATCGTTCCTCGCTAATCGCACCTTTGTCTGTTAGCTCCTTTCACAATTTGTGGATTCGCTTCCAGCCGGCCAGTAGGCCAGCAGGTTCTTAAGGCAACCATTTTTGACATTTGCGTTTTGTAAACATTTCCAAATACTTCTTGGACATGTAACATATATTCCTTCTAGTAGGCTGTTGCCTTTCGCGTAAGTACATAGATTTCTCATCCCAGAAAGGAACAGGTTTTTCACTTTCAAAGGTGCCAATTATTAGGTAAAATCTAATGCGAGAAAAATTAATTTTGTTTTTTTTTTTTTGTTTTTGAGATAAACTTCTGGCGGGATGAATATCCGAATCGCTTTAGCGACTTAACGAAGTGTAAAGATTAGATTTCGATTATGTGCTGGCAATAGCTTGCCACTTCTCGATCGGACGTTTCGTCTTTGCTTTAGCTCGCAAACCCACCATAGTACAACATCTCGAAAAGATGTTTGTTTGCGAGTTATCCGATATATTTTTTATGAGCGAGCAATTGGAAAACATAAAAGTTCTTATTGTTTTTTTTTTCTAGATGTTGGCTTCTCTGCGATCAGTTTGGAACAAGTTGAAAGAATTGAATTTTCCCGACATACGATTTCAAGAAGATGACCTTACAGATCTTGTATAGGCGACGAGAGAAACGAGAGTTTTTAAGAACACAATTCCCAGAAGAATTAACTTTGTAATGGATGCTTGCATTGTGATAATATTTGCGTTTCTCTTTTTTTATATTATCGCTTTTTATAAGCATTTAGAATGAAGGAGTCTGTCCATCCGTCTTTATAGACGTAGAAATGTTAGCGGCTGTAATAAGTGCTATATAAGTACTAGTGTCGGCCTGAAGGAATATATAAGAACTGAAATTTTGGCGAAAATGATTTATCTATATTTCACCAGATGGCGTTGTACAATAAAGACGCAATATGCAGCTGTTAGTTGATGAGACAAAAAAATCCCTGGATATTTCTTGATAATGAATAAAAGTGGAAATCGCGCATGCAAGAGGAATACAATATTATGAAATATATATAATATTAAAAAAAATGTATAACATTTTGGTATTCGTGACTTATTTTCACGCCAAAAGATTTACTCAAGAGAGTAGGGCTGAAGTGTGGTGCTGAAAGAAAGCAACCAGTCAAGTGAGTTTGCACGCCCAGTATAGTGAAGTTTTGTAAACTCTAATTGCTATAGATAAGTTCCTTTAACTTTGTAAATAATTCTCTGTAAATATTTTTTCTAATTTTGTGAGGGAAATATTACGCCATTCGCGGCTCAGTGCCACGAATCTAATCTAGTTTAAGAAATATTACGTATAACATGTAAACCAAAATCAACCTTACACCACAAATATTTGAAAAATACATTTTATATTCAATACACTTTAAAAAAAAAAAGGGTTTGGAAGCCCGTTTTTCAAAGGACTTTTTCAAACTATATCTAACAAAATGACATATATCCCTAGCATTTGCCTGAATTCGTTCTATCCGCATTTGGAACAACCTACCAGCACTGGTCTGTCTTTGGCTCCTTGTTGTACGTAGACAAACACAATTCCCTTCTTCCATTCCTTTCTACCTGAAACCCTTCCGAGGCACCACCGTGTCCGCACATAAAGAGGATATCTTCCGGTCGTCACAAAAAGTCAATAATCACCGGCAACTAACAAAAAAGCAATGTTAACCCTTTGCACTCGAAGTTTTTTTTCATTCGTATTACAATCCGCGACCGGCGACCGCCATTTGTCACCAATAGCGAAACACCCGAATACTACTTTTTACGATTTGTTTTTGTTTTTATGTTAAGAACTGCAAATTATTTACAATGTCTCCGTAGCGGAGCCCTCAAGTTTGAAGAACAATTTTAAATGGCTCCGCTCCGAAGCCCTCGAGTGCAAAGGGTTAAATTTAGAAAGTATCACATCTCAAACAATGCCGGACAAAATATCGATTGTCGTTTCGATTGTGCGTTTACGGAGTTGCAGTGGCTTCTGCTATTTTCGAAGCAACGAAGAATTTCAAGCGCCGAGTAAATATTGCTTTTGAGTAGGAAAAAAATCAACGTTGATTTGAGAAGTGTATGTGTGGCAATCCTTCTTCTTATCAATGTTTTCTTGACTATAAACAAGCTTGCATGGATACCGATAAGGCTCAACGCAGTCTCTACCAGGGAACAAGAGACAAAAAAAAGAAAATTCTGAAAACTACTGTCGGCAATTCTAAAGGGAAGTTGCAAAGACACATGTTACCTTGCGCGAGAATTTGAGCACGAAAAACGGATGCCTTTTTACTCACATGGAAACACAAATGCCATTGTCTCAAGTGGATGGCGAAATTAAACGAGTTGTAGTTCGGATTGTTGCTAAATCCATCCATCGTATTCTCTTGAGCTGTACTTTGCGTTCACAAATCTTACAAGGTTGCTGGATGAAGGATTGCGGATGAAGTCGAAGACCATCAATTACAAATGCACCTTCTTTTTGCTTATTGAAATTTTATCCTACGAGGTCGGCCGACAAAAGAACCAAATTAAGAGCAATTTAAGATCTTGTCCTGCAAAGATAATAACTCAACTTGTCCTAGCTACAGTGCCATCTTTGTTATGTGCTTTAATTTCTACGTCGCTGAAGCTTGGAATTAACGAAGAAAGAGAATTAAAGGAAGTCTCGTATTTTCCTTGCTTAACCCGCAACGAAGTCTTGCTCAATGATGACTGATGATACAATACCCAATACCCAATTACTGAGTGTAATTAAATAGGAGCTGGTCCCACTTACAATGAAAGCGTCATTATGTCGACAAACTCTACCGAACAACTCCGCCGAAAATAGCCACAATGCGTGCGACGACGCTCGTCCTCATGTTGTCAAACAGCTTTGAAGAGACGAAACCAGTTCTGAACTGTAGAAAGCAAATCCCTCCGGCCTACCCATCCGACTTTTGTTACTTCTAATTAGTGTTTGTAGCAAAACATGGCCAGTGCCCCCGTTTTTGTGACTTTGTGCTAAATGAGAAAACAGCCTATTGTCTGCTTACAAACTGCTCTTATCTACAAGAAACTTACACCGACTTGTGGATTGCCTTGCGTTTTCTTGTTACTGGTTAGCATCTTCAGATTTGTTCATACAAGTATTTTCTTTTTACATAATCGGTTCACTGACAATGTAACAGCACTAATAAAAATGGATCGATAAAGTTGTCTCGACGTTTTCCCCCATACCAGGGAATGCATTGTTGGAATAAACACAATAAAAAAGAATGTAGCCAGGAAAACTTTGGTGACGTTGACGCTTTGTGAAGTTTTTTTTTTTTTTTTCTCTCTTTTCTTTTTTTGCTCTTGATGTGTATATGTGTGTTATAGAAACGCACGTTCACTGTGTAAAAAGCAACGGCAACGGTAGCGACGGCAACACACACAGCAATGAATTTACACAAAATTTTATATTCAACCCCAAGACTGCCGCAGCAATTTTCACATTATGTAGGGGTTTGAAGAAATTTAGACGCCACGTCATGTACATACAACAATTCGCAACAAAAACAAAGACAATAACTACGGAAAATTATATATACATATATATATATATATATATATATATATAACCAGCAAATGCTTTCACCATCAACGAGAGTATGAAAAAAAAAAAACAAAAAAGCAAAAAAAAAAAAACAGCAGCAACAGCAGCAGCAAAAGATATCCCAACATTTGACTGCAACACCCCGAACATCGAATTCGAGATTGCAGAGACAGAGAGTAACAGAGAAAACGGCGACGGCTGTCGACGACGACAGCGTAAAGGACCAAAACTGTTAAAGATGTACGACCGTACAGACGTAAATACACTTGCAAAACGGTTACTACGTGAGTGGGTTGAATGGACTGAAGTTAAATTGTGTTATTGTTGTTGTCCTAGTCTTAGTCATATTCATAATCATCATCACCATCACACCATTATCATCATTACATTCACCGCTGCGAGCTTTGTAAAATTATGCATGTATGTATGTATGTATGTATATGCATATGGGTATGTGCCTTTGTAATGGAGGTACGAAACTGAAGAAGAGGTCATTTGCAGTTTGATACTCACACTTAACGATGTTTCTGCAGCAAAACAAGGGTGATGGCGTTACTGTCTAGACAAGTGCATTTTTTCCAACGGATAAGAAAGAATGTAGAGAAAAAAATTTTTTCAAGATTTTTCTTCTATTTTTTCTATTTTTCTTTTTTTTTTCTTTTTTTTGATTACTTGTGAAGAAGTGATTGTTTATCTTTGATAAAGCTTTGGCTATCCTACATAAAAATTCAGTTCGAGTATTTATGAAAATAAGAAAATATCAGGCAAAAAAAAAAAAAAATTTTGTTTTTAAGACTTTTTCAACGCTTTTAATTAGAAGCTTATTAAAGCGAAACGAATAAATTAAAATATGTTCTCGTATTTTCGTATCTTTTCTCTTTAAGGTTATTTGCTAACACGTGTTGAGGGCAAAATTGGCTCTCCCGAAAAGCCTTTATCGGATTTAGGACTAATATCATATCGTTCTTATTGGAAAGATGTTCTATTGGACTATTTGTGCAATCGTTCCGGCAGCACATTAAGCATAAAAGATGTTTCACAGGTGGTTTTTGAAATCATATCAACGAATGCATTTACATAATAAAAGCAAATAAATAACAAAGTCAAAAAATGAGATACGATCTTAGGTGAAGAAATACAGTCCGCGCCAAGTCCACATAAATGTTAAGGGGAAATGCGTTAAGAGATCTACAAAGAGAAGTTGTTTTTTTAATCAAGCGATATATTACGATATAATTTCTGCACCTAAGCCTTAAAGGCCTTAAAGCCTTCTTTCAAAGAGTGCCTCTGTAAAAATTTCATATAGCCAGTGATTAATATTTTCTTTTGCATGCGAAGACTTTTGAAAATCCGGAAAACTGAAATCACTTATTGTCTTTTACAAGGATCTTCAAAAGTCATTGCGGCCACACACATATACCATTTGACTAAGATATGAACCCACACGTGAAGTACTTTACTTACCGTCAAGAAGAATTTTTTCGTAATTTTGAAGGACTTTTTTCCCGTTCAAATCATCTCTGGTTCGTCCAACGGACTTTTAGTGGAAGGGATGGAAACTTCTTTCTCTTCTCATGTAGTGCTGTTCAATCAGCTCTTTTCGGAATATGAGACTCGGCATTAACTTAACTTAAATTCGTAGATTCGTTCTGTGAAAAGCCCGTTAGTGGAAATATAGAGCTGAGATAAATCAGACACGGATGAATGGCTTCGTACTGCGTTCTATAGAATCTCATCGCTTTGGCAATGCATTATTATTGTTTGCTCATTTTTACTCGAATTGCGAATAACCCATAATTAACAAAAATATGCATTTACGTCACAACAACGAACAAGCGCAGCCATTGATAAATTTTTCCAGCCTAAGTGAATTATTGGCATGCTCTTTTCTGCTTATGTCTGTAGTTTTAGCTATGACGAACCGATTACAACCGGAAATTGCAACTTTTAGCCGATTCTGATAGCAAACTATGTTTGTAAATTGAAAGGAAGCAAAAAGTTTTCATTTTCCCCTGTTTACACGACACTCTCTGCTATACAGTCCGCACAAAAGAATTTCCGATGGTCCATATTTTGCTTCCATACTAATAGTGGGTGAGAGCGTGTTTCTTGAATAGAATTGAGGAGAAATGCTATTTAATAGGAAACTTCGATGTTTACATCTTCCAAGATCACTAAATTTTAACCTCCGCCGGCCACAATAATGGGGATCCCAGGCGCGAAAATTATTTTAAAAAAATTAAAAGCGAGATAAAAAGTATTTAATAACTTTTCACGTCCATAGGAAATGGCTATATACTCATACGACATTGTTAGCACCCTACAAGCTTTAGGTATGATGAAGTATTGGAAAGGGAAACATATCGTACTCAAAAAACAGGTAAAAATTTGAAATTGTACAAAATAAAAGGAGAGTTTCGCTTCACCTTCTTGATCATCTTTTACTTACACTTAGGACGTCTTAGATGATTATGAAGAACGTATTAAACGACGTGGTACTTTCCCCAAAATTGATGAGACATGTTTGCGTTGGATCCCATTTGTGCCCACACAAACGAACGAATCTCCCTGAAAAAGGGCGATAACTAATTATGATTAAAAATCGCTAAGCTATAAGTAGTAAAGATGTCCAAAACAAAAAATTGCTGTAATTAAATGTAAGAATAAAGTATAACTAAAGAAAAAAAAAAAAAGAAAAGCGTTTGCTTAGTTGTTTTGGGTAAAGGGTCATATTGATGAAGTTACACAGGCCAAACAAATATCAATATTAAATACATATATATATATATGTGTAGATGTACCTAAATACATATATACATCTATATAAATATCCGTCGATTTCTTTGTTCTGGTCTTAAATGTGGTCATTTTTGTTATTTTTTTTCTTATTCACTTATATGCGAACACAGTCATCCACAATTTGCCAATGATTAGTCACACATGCGCTTATTTCAGGTATATATGGCGCGACTTCACACCACATTCATACTTTGAAAGCGTGGAGAATATTTTGAGTTTTTCGTTATTTTTTTTTCTTTTTTCTTCAACTTTTTTCCTTTTGACGAATAAATAAGAAAAAAAAAAGAGCAGGCATTCACTCAGTCAACCGTCAATGCAGACAAGATAGTTAGGAAGTCAGTAATGCATACATATATATATATATAAATATAACTGTGGTTAGCTAAATAACCAGAGATGCCAGCCAAGTGTTTTGCGTTTATGCAAGAAGACAATGAAAATTTCTTATTTTCCTTACGACACTTGGAGACAACGGATATTTTCTTTTAAAGACAAATTATTTGTGGGAAAATGACATATGTTTAGCTTTACATTGGAATGTTTCTAAGAGATGTACACACACAAAACACCGTATATGCATATATATATTTGTATGTAATCCATCATCATATCATGAGTATGTATAACATTGCTAAACGATAAGTAACTCTCCATGTGCTGCTGGTCATGCCCACATGCCCATCCTTAAGAGTGTGTATGCAATGCACCTCACCTTATTGAATGATGAGCTTTTTCGTTGGCTCCATGCAAACGTTATCTATGTATATATATATATATATATATATATATATATATATATATATATACATACATGTGTACATTTGATGACTTGATACATATGCTTGCATATACGGAAAGTATATATTTTCATTTATATTATGTATCTACACCATACCACGCATGCTAATATACAATTTCTGATGTCTCCCGGCTGGCGTTGTGTGTACGGATACAATAAAACATAACCGGCATCCAAAACACCAGACAACAACAAAGCCTTTTATGTATGAATCAGCTAATGGTTCTCTTTTTCTTGCTTTCATTTGCTCTCTTTCTCTTTCTCTCTCTCTCTCTCGTTCTCTTTTATGAAAGACGCCCCAAAAATGCACATAACACATATCTAATGCGGCACACGAATGCATATATTGTCGCTACTTACAATCCGTCAGACAAACAAACGTGTAGACAATTCTCTATAAATTTAACTCTACTACATAGGCTCATGACTTGAAATTTCCAAATAAATAAATAATAAAAAAAAAAATGAAAAGCTCTCTTACTCTGAATTTTGTGAGCCATACGCACAAAACATAAATGTCCGCATTTACACATTTATTCAAGGAGACTTTGCTTTCTGGGAGAATGAGTTCACCAAAAATTCTACGGGTGTTTGCTGAGTGGAAAGAGAAAAAGAGAGAAAAAGAGAGAGAGAGAGTGGAAAAAGATATATAAGTTTGTCTATAAGATTGCCAGCCAGCTCTTCGCTATATGTACTTCATATCCTATATATTCTCGATCACCGCACAAAAGCGAGTATACTAAATTAGTCATAAAGTTCGATACACACATGACGACAATCAAAAACTAATTGAAAATTTATTACGTTCTCTTCTCTAGTGAGAAAAATAATCATAAGATCTCAAGCGCGTTCACTATATTAAAAGAAGGAAAGGTAGAAAAATTGGAGTCAGGTGAAATGACTATTGATGGCAAAGAAGTTCGTTATTCAAAATTTAAACGCTCGATTAGTTCTTAGATAGAAAAATTTTTTGCTTTTAGGCAAAGTGGACTGTGCATTATCTCAATAAAAGGCAACGCACTAGACAGTTTGGTCCAACATAGAAACATTTGCGGCATATATATCCATTTGACAAGTGTTTACAGAGAAAGCTACATATTAATATCGTAACTCGCGTCACCACAAAAGTTTATTCAGACAAGCAGGCAACTAAGTGCACTGCTTTTTAAATGCAGTCCTCGCACTTCTTTTTAGAAATTTCTAGACTTTTGTTATAGACTGAGTATTTATTTATTTAAATGCTAAGCAATAAGCAAATGCTAATGTTGTGACCGACCACTGGTCATAAGGAGAAAACGATTTGTTCTCTTGCATAGTTTTTATGACTGTGCAATAGAAGTGTTCAATAGCAATTTTGTTATGGAAAACAAAAACAAAAACGTTTCCTTGTAACTTGTTACATATCGGTGATGTGTGCCAATGATAGGAATCTAAGAAGTTTTCCCGGCAAAAAAAGCCTTAGAAACATTTTTTTCTCCCAAGACGGGTTCTCGGTATTTCTTTTCTGCCAAAATTTTAGTGATCTTAGATAAATGGATTAGTCCATTCTTATTGAGATGTGAATATGATATTTATTTCATGCAATCATCCCCATGAGTTGATAATATTATAATAAGTGGTTTGAGCCTTTGCTGAAAAATTCTTTAAGTCATAAAATGCAAAAATAGAAGAAGAGCAGATCTTTCGCTTTTTCAAGGTGTCCTAGTTTAGGATGATAAAGTCCTCCAAGGGCACGCTTACTTTCTAAGTCGTCTCACAAGTCAAGGAATACAGCAAGTTCGATTAATCGATCGATTCTGCCCCTCCTTTATTAGTAATAACGTTCTCAATTATACTGGATTCCATTCAAATTTGGCTAATCATCTATACGGATGATTATCTGCGCGCTTAGCTCAACTGCAGAATGTTCTAATTAATGATAATCAGCTTATAGCTGGATTATAGAAAACGCAAAACTACCTTAACTTAAGACCATAGATGCTAAAGAAAACCTAAAACCTAAAACGAGATAATACGAATAATATGAAAATATGTACAAAAACAACGATGGATTCAACTTACCGCTACAAAGAATCTATTGTTCCTTTTCTCTCGGTAAAAAATTAGATTTGATTTCCGAGCAAATATCGTAGACCAAAGATAGCGCCGTATAAGATACGGTCACTAAAACTCATTGAGCGAAAAATCGATGCAGACCATTACGTTTCATATTGCGTAATTCAGGGGAACCGTTATCGTTTATTCTCAACAGTCTGTAATTAAGCGTGCTTCTTTTTCGCGAGTATACTAGACCTTTTTGACTCCTTTGACATAACCTTTTTTGGCGATTTTGATTACAATTTGGCCAACAACAACCAGAAAGACAGTATTCGGGTATCTAAAATGTAATCAGCTACGCAAAAATAAAAATGTAGAGTTTAGCGTAGTAAAAGACAGAAGTTCATTTCACTTTTTTTTTAATATTTAGGGAGCAAATTCATGTGCTGGGATTGCAACATAAAAAACGATCGCCTTTCCGATCAGTCTGCAAGCATTGATCGGAAATGATACCTTGAAAAGTTTAGCGAGTTTCAATTGGTCTCTGATAAATTGCTTTAAAAATATTATTTAATCATTTGAATATCTGCTATGAGAGAAAAAAGGCCAAACCAAAAGATTGGATATATTTTATGAGAGGAAGCATGTAAACCCAATCTATTAGTTTAGCGTTATGAGAGGAGAAGTGGAAACAAAAAATTTTGCAGTAATTGTTGGCATCTCTTTAGTATCTTTTTCTTTGTGATGTGATGGTGGGGTAATGCGGACGACATGTAAACGCGAAAAGAGAATCATTCAAGCAG